CAACCGAGATTCAGCAAAACAGTACCCAAGTCCAGGAAACACAGGAGAGTTACACTTTTTTCTTCTTAAGGATTAAAGGACTGAGTGGAGAATGCTGTTAGGAACTACCAGTCCATTGCGGTAAGCTGGGGATTCGAAGTGTGGTTGCTTTTCACTGCCTGAGCGGCTCTAGGGGCGGGGCTGAGAAGGCTCCCTCCAACCTGCCGGAATAGTAGAGGGGCGTCCACCCGAGAGCTCCCCTCCCTGTCTTCCTGTCAGGTCTGCTTGTCACCAGGAGAGGCAGGGCTGACAGCTCGCACTGTTGGCCTCACAGCCCAGTTGGGGTGAGCTCTCCCATCACCCCTCACAAGAAGCCCAGAACAAAAGAACAAAGTGCGTGAGTGCCTGGGTGTGTGGGAAGCAGAGGGTTCTTCCTAGAGGTCTGAACCTCTGCAGAGGGAGCAAAATTAATACGAAATATTTGCCAATGCCTCACGTGTAAAGAGCTAAAAGGTCTTGCGCATGAGTGACGCAGGAGCAGCAGGCAAGCTGAGGACAAAGCGGGCACTGGCGCCCCACCATCCCCCCGCCATGGGTATGTGTGACATCCTCAGGCACTCTGGCGGCCCTAAAGGAAGAACAAATAGTTAGTTTGTAGATCACAGTCCTGCAAGACGAGTCTCCCTCAGTTTACAAATGTCTTAGCGATCCACAAGAACAAAGCATTTCTATCAATGGCTTAGCTTACAGAAGGAAATGTGGATACAATTAAATGTCCTTGGAACCTGCAGCCCATGACAGATTCCTGAAGCAGGCAGAGTGCAATGTTTCTCCAGGAAGCTTCCTACTCTCTTCTTGTTAATGCCTTGCTAGAGGGGGAAACAACCTTAACTTCACAATGGCAAGGCCTCCCGGTATCCTGCAAGTCTTCTTTAACACAGGAAAATCCTTTTGAAACCCCCCTTTTCCTTACCTCCCCAACCCCATAGTATATAATCACCAGCCCTCCAAACCCGAAACCCCGGGACAGCAACTCTTTCTGCCCACGGGTCCTGTCCCTTTGCTTGGTACCGGCACAAAAACAGACATGTAGACCCATCATTTTGCACCAAAGACGTCTCAAGAATTCATTCTTGGCTCCAGACCGCACCCCAATGAACCTCACCTATATTCCAAAATCCCATCATGAGGCTGGGACGCTGTGGGAGAAGGGTCACCCCAGGGAACCGAATGATTGAGGAGGAAAGTAGGGATTGTGAACTGGATGAAACTGGAAAAAGGGATCCCTCCCCAATGCTTGAAGCCTGTAAGATTTAGGTCCCATGAGGACAGGCACGTACCTGCCCACCTAGTAAAGCACTTGAGTTGGAAGCCTTTAAGGGATGGCCTTCAAGAACTCGGTTTTAGCTGCCTACTCAAGTAGGGACAGCAGCTCCTTCTGACGGCCTCACTGAATCATGAGTAGACACGGGTGCACAGAGCCCAGCTCGCACTGCACCCCCCGGCCACCGGTGGAGCCAGGCTCCTATTCTCCTATGCAGAGTTAATCATACACCCCTGGAGGGTACCAAAGGTCACCTCCAAAAGAGGCCTCTTTGGCATGTGGATTATTTTGAGCTAAGGCCTGTTGAGGATTCAATAACAGGCAAAGTCTCCCTTTTGCAAAGCAAAATTACATTTCTAAAAGTGCCTTCCTCCCTGAACTCCCAGAGGAATCTTCATACCTTCTGTCAATGGGGAAGTCATTGACTTAAATCTGGGTAACAAACCGAACTATGCAACCCCCCTTCACTACTCCTTCCCTGACTTCCTTCCTTAGCTGTCCTCAACCACCCTTTCCCTTTGTTTGGCCTAAAGTGGTTAAGCCCCACCAATAACTGGCCGCTAGGGTCCCTCATCACTGGGGCCTCGTGTGTGTGTGTGTGTGTGTGTGTGTGTGTGTGTGTGTGTGTGTGTGGTGTGTGTGTGTGTGTGTGATGCAGTGTTCAAGATGTGCTTGACCATAGCATTGAGGGTCCATATCTGGGCTCTCTACTCTGTTCCACTGGTCTATGTGTCTGTTTTTTGTGCCAGTACCATGCTGTCTTGGTGATCACAGCTTTGTAATAGAGCTGGAAGTCAGGCAACGTGATGCCCCCAGCTTCAGTTTCTTTTTCGACATTTCCTTAGCAATTCAAGGTCTTTCTGGTTCCTTACAAGTTAGGGTAGCTTGTTCCAGCTCTATGAAAAATGCTGTTGGTATTTTGATCGGGATGGCATTGGAAGTGCACATTGCTCTGGGAAGCACAGACGTTTTCACTGTATGTATTCTTCCGATCCATGAGCATAGGATGCTTTTCCATCTCTTGTGTCTTCCCCCTCCATGTCTTTCATGAGACAGATCCTTTACCTCTTTGGTTAGGTTTATTCCCAGGTATCTTAGCTATTGTAAATGGAATTGATTCTCTAATTTCTCTTTCTACAGTTACATTCTTAGTGTACAGGAAAGCAACTGGTCCCTATACACAGTGGAATATTCCTCAGTCATCAGAAAGGATGAATACTCAACTTTTTTATTGACATGGATGGGACTGGAGGAGATCATCCTGAGTGAAATAAGTCAAAGCCTGGAAAAGGGGCTCCCGGTCCCTGTGCCCAAGCACGCAGCACCTGCCCAACAGGGCTGCCCGGGACCTGGGAGCTGATGACTGCCGAGCCCAGGACCCCATGTCGCTCTCCCACCTACCTTGTTTCTGAACTTGACCTGCTTGCACACTTCCTCTGCCTTCCCACATCGAGAACCGGCGTCCCATGAGGCCCAGAGGAGCAGCTGCCCCAGCAGCATCCCTAGTCAAAACTCGCTTATTGAGAAGACAACGAAACCAAGGCGGCACAGAGTGCTCCGAAATGCTGTTAGTGACCGAGTAGGCTGGCAGGCTCCGGGTGGCCCCACAGGCACTGCACACTCCGGCGGGCTCCGCAGTCCGAAAACCGGCTGAAGCCTGCCGGCAGCTGAGTCCCCACGGAACAGAGGCAGGGAGGGAGGGTGGCCGGGTGCTGCTCTCACCACTGCCCGCCACCCCCTGGGGCCTCCGCCAGCCCCCTCCTCTGCAGTTCCGGACTCCTGCTTGCAGAGGGGTCCAGCTCCCCAGGTCACAGCAGGACTTCTAATCCCGTGTAATGTACACCCAACCAAGTGCAAAGAAAGCCGGAGGCTATAATTCTGGTCTTCTCGCATCCACTGCGGGGCAGTTCTGAAGCCCATGGTTCACTTTCCAGTCGGCAGGCTTACCTACTCCACAGGCCTCTTGAGAACAGGACACGTGGGGAGAGGGGACTCATACTATGTCCCGCCAGCTTCAGCCGGAGAGCCCCGGTCCGCTGGTTTTCGAGCTCGGGTCTGGTACTTCCTCTGCACGGTCTGCGGAACTTCCGAAACTGGCTCCTGAACAGGCTGGTGAAATGGCAGGACCCACCCAACCCTCAGCTCTTTGCAAAAATGGGAGAATAGCTTAAGGAAAAAAAAAAAGCGCGGAAGAGAAAGAGGAAAGTCCAGGTGCCAAACACCCTTCTCTGCAAGGACACAAGATCTGTAAGAGCCTTGGCAAGCTTCCTTCCTTCGCTGACCACTCAGTACGTTCTTTCCTAGGACAGTAATCTTCCCGGCTGCTCAGCTCTCCCACAGACTTTGCAGGCTGGGAGTGCTCGGGGGCTGTCCCAGGGGCCATCTCCTCCACTGTCCCCAGCAGCACCCATTTTCCTGTTGTTCTTGGTTCTTGGGAGGGAGGGTCCTCACATCTGAGCAGCCACATGCTCAGGTCCCCCAGGAAGTGTCCCCTCCCCCATCAGAGGGCTCATTCAGCAGGAGTGACAGGGGCCAGCACAGCCCAGCACACTCCCGGGTCAATGACAGTCGGAGCACCAGTCCTCGCACCTGGCATGGCTGCAATGAGTGGGATGTCTGCTGTTCTCTTCACAAATGAGGCCACGGAGATCAGAGATCAAGAACTTATTCCCACGTGGTGGTGACTGACCCGGGCCAGCAGACCCCACACTTGGAAGCTCTAATGCTGTCACTCACTTGTCTCAGCCTAACCCTGTCCTGCGTGGCCCTGCGAGGCCCTCAGTAGACCAACCCAATGCCTCTTTGAACCCCTGCACCCCAGGGCCTTTTCCCTAACCTAGAGACCCCCGAGCCTCCCTCCTTGGACCGAAGCCCATTCTGCTCACAGTAAGGGACGAGCCGCTGAGTCACACGGTTCACTGGTTTATTGAGACTAGGGAGATCCCTCCCCAAGAGATGCCTTGGCAGGAAACGGATGCCCCCTCCTGCCCGGTGGCTCCCTCTGTCCCTGCCAGCCATCGGGGTTGGGGGAGCCTTCCTGTGGTTGGGATTCTCACCAACTGTCTACTGGAAGCAGCTCCCCAAGCCTGCCCCCATTTCTTCTCCCTCGAGTCCCCCCAGAAAAACACAAAACCAAAGGGAGCAGCCCTGGGAAGGAGGACGGGGAGCATGGACATAGTGTGTACATGAGCACAAAGGTGGGGTGGGGGTTCAAGCAGAAAGCATGTGAGGGTGTGAGCTGCGGAGAGTGCATAAGGACGTGTAGGGTGCGCGCCTCGGGCTCTGCTAGGAGGATACAATGGTCTTAAGGTGCAAAGGCAGGGTACCCAGGTTCCATGAGCACACACAGGGGGAACGCACAAGGAAACACGGATGTGCGCTGGTGGGGAAGGCCTCCGCTCAGCACACGAAGGGCACAGGGGCCCCGAGCGCAGGAGGGAAGCGAGGACAGGGCACACACGTGAGCGCCAGAGGGAGAGGCACATGTGAGCACACATGCACATGCGCGTGTGTTGGGAAGTGTGAGCACGCACAGGGCAGAGGCGGGAAACTCCAGGGGGACGAAGCTGGCAGAGCGGTGAAGGGTGGGCGGGTGGAAGGAGACCAGGCTGCGGCCAGCACTGGTGGGAGGGGAAGGGGCGCAGTGCCGCGGGGCCAGGAAGCTGCAGCCAGGCACAAACTGGACAGCATGGCGGTCAGAAAACTGCAAGCACACGAGAGCAAACGCGCCGGGTCTACAGTCCTGGGGACCCAGCCAATCCCAGACTCACAGAGGAGGCCTTCCTCCCAGCCCCTCCCCAATCCCTGGGGCCCTCATTTGTACAGCAAATGAACCCGGCTCCCATCACAGCTGAGCCTGTCAGGGGGCTCATGGGGCCCCCTGGGCAGGCCCCCCGAGGGGTCTGGGGGCGTAGAGGGGTGGCGCCGGGGGCGGAGCTGCTGACGAGACCGAAGCTGATGGCGCAGCTCGGAGACTCGCTCCTCTTTCTGCAGGAAGAGAGATTGGGAGAGGTTGGAAGAAGGGGAAGGGAGGCGGGGCCTCGCAGAGAAGAACGTGGGGTATGAGCGGAGGACGGGGGAGGGACGCCAGGATGGACAGCAGACGCGAACATGAGGCACCAGGAACGATGGAGGAGAGCCAAAGAGCAAAGAGGGGCATCAGGTGAGGAGGGACCAGGGGAATGAGGAGTGGGAGGCGGGGGAGGGGAGAGAAGCCCATGCCCACAGATTTGTGCCAGTGCCCCTCACCCCCCAGCGCCCCCACACCTCAGCAATGATCTTCTCCAGCTCACGGTTCTCCTTCTCCAACAGCCGGGACTTCTCCTCCTCGTTGTTGTTGGTGGATGAGCCTGTCTTCATGGTGTCCTGCGCCTCCGACTGCCACTCGCCCCGGGTGATCAGCCTGCGCATCTGGGGACCAAGGATTGCACATGAGACGGGGGAGCAGACTGTCCGTGACCAGCAGGTGGCGAGGCAAGCGGGGCCCCTCCCAAGGGCAGGAGCAGGAGGAGGCTCCCAGGAAGCAGGGCTGGACTGCGGGGACAGAAGCGGGGACCGCCTCACCTTCGGCACGAAGAGCACGACCAGAGTGATGTAGGAGGAGAACACTATGGCCAGGGACGCGAAGGCGAAGGCTGCGTCCTGCTGGCTGGACAGGATCATGGTGACCGGGGCAGTGATGAGGCACAGGACCTGTGGGTGCACCCTGTTTGGGACCTCCAGGCTTTCCTCCCCCAGGAGAGAGCCCATGAGGACAGGTCCTGGGGGAACTTCCCATCGCTAAAGGCTCCAGACCCCAGGCCACCCTCAACTCCAGAGCGGGAAGAATCCCCAACCACGTCCTGCTCCAGGTCAACCCCTCCCTCAAGGCAGATGTGCTGGGATCCTCACACGGGCCCATTCAGAGTCCCTGAGCACTGAGCGTCCAGGAACTCTGGCCGGAAGCTGACTCGGATTCCAGCCAGGGAACCGGAGACAAGGCATCTCACTTCCCCACTCTGCTTCCTCACCTGTGCAGGGGGACAGTAATGTCTGCATCGTGTGCTCACGGGCAGAGCTGTAAAACAGTGTCTGTACGGGGCTTTACCCGCTGGGAAGTGCTTTACAGACCCGAGGCACTAAAAATTTTCTTCAGACTCCCGCCCACTGATCCCAGTCCCGATTCCTCCCCAGCAGCCCTGGGGTCAGCACCAGGTGTCCAAGGCTCACCGCCACGTTGTAGATGGCCATGCCCACAGCCCGGTGGTCATTGATCTTCTCTGTAGACACGCTCTTGGTCTCGTAAGCAAGAAAGATACCGAGCAGCAGCAGCAGCCCCTTATAGCCGTAGAAAATGCCTGGAGTGGAGGCCACGGCCACTTGGCAACAAGACCTCCAGGCGTCCACTCACCCCCCGGGCCCTCCACGCCCTCCACCCACTGCTGTTCCTGCTTCGAGCTCCACAAGTGAAGGGGCTCCTTTCTGATCGGCCCCTCTGACCTAGCACACCCGTCTCTGTCTGTCCCCCCAACTTGTCCCAACATCCCCACTCCCCCATGGGACCGAGGAGGACGACTGCGGAGAGCCGGCGTCTGCCACGCTATGTCCTGGCCCCTTACCCTCCAGGCTGAGGGCGGCCTTGCCCTTTCTGATCCTGCACCAGTGTGCAGGCCCTCCCCAGGCCTCCCCATCCTGCTCTCACTCTAAGGAGCTGGCCAGACAGATGGGGTCAGGCAGTCCCACGGGCCACCCTGCCCCCAGCTCTGCCCCAAGCCTGCTTTACACCCCCGGCTCCTCACGGAAGAAGACCGGCTCTCCCTCCTTCCCAGAAAGGATCAGGGCAAAGCCGCCCTCCTCCCGCGGGCCCTTCTGCACCGGCCCTCCCCTGACCCGCGCACCGAGCCACGTGTTCATCTTCCTGGAGCTGCAGTGCTCCAGCTGCGGCAGGATGGACACATCGATGTCTTCCTTAGGCTCCTCCTTGGCGAAAGTCTAAGGGAGAAACGGGGCCCCAGGGAGACGCCAGTCACCCTCCCTGCCCTGCCTCTGCTCAGTCCTGATGCCCAGCTCGGCCTCCTCTTTCCCAGGTGGTCCTCAGCACAGATGCCAGGCCCCACTCTAGGCCCGGGAGTGCTTTCATGAGCACCTCGGAAGGGCGTGTTCCCGGCTTTCCATGATGCCTGGGACGTCTACACATCCTTCCGGGATCCCCACCACCTGCCTCCCCACCTGCACTGGGCCTCCTTAGGGCACGGAGAGGCGGCTCTCCTCCTGGGTCCCCAGGCGTGCAGAGGCCCCGACCCCCTGGGCCTCCTCTCAACGGGTACCTCGATGGTGCGGTGCAAGGGGTCCACGATCTGCCAGATGGCGAGAGTGAGGACGTCCATGCCCACCAGCAGGCCCACGGTGGCGTACAGCTTCCAGGGTTCCAGGGTCTGGGTGGGCACAGAGCACAGGCAGGTCGGGGAACCCTCTGAAGCCCGAGAGCCAAGGATCTACGGGCCGAGGTGAAGAAGCAGCTCACCTTCCTCCACTCCTTCTTCTCCTCCTTCTTCGTGAAGACCGTGTGGACCCACCAGATCTTAGTGAACATGGAGCCATAGCCCAGACTAAAGCCCAGACCCAGGAGCCAGAGGCGCGCCTAGGACAGGAGAGGGAGCAGGGCACAACCGCGCACAAAGGGGTGCAGTCAGGAGCCACGGGGGTGCACACAGGGCCGGCAAGTGGGTCTCTCTGCCTCCAGCAGCTTCCTCCCACCCACCTCCTCCTCTGCCAGCAGGGCCTCCTTGCTACACCCTCCTGTGCAAATCCCCAGCCTGGGTGTGCGGTGTGGCAGTACACCCTCCACCACACAGCCCCAGCCAGCCCGGCTCCTCGCCCTTTCCTCCCCCCAGGCTCCAGCCACGCCGACGGCTCACCTCATCTACTGGCTGTTCGACCCCCGCAGGCCACCTGAGTGACCCCCCCCGTGCCTCCAGCTGAGGAAGGCCCGCACATCCTTGATACTCCGGTGCCGGTCCAGCTACTCCTGAGCCAGTCCTGAGCGGCCCCCCTCTGCTGCACAGACCTCTCACACATCCCGGAGGTCAGTGTGCCCCCTCCCGCTGCCCTCTCATTTCCCTGGGGGCTGACAGCCTCTGGGGAAGTGTGCTTGTGTGTGCCAATGCCACGTGCCCGCTGCACGGTCAGGACAGGGCCCAGGATGGATGAGTACGGACAGGCAGGGACAGGGGCTGTGTCCCACCAGCATAACAGAGCTGCACATGTGTGGCCACGGAAGCCAGCCTTTCCCACAGCCCCGGGACCTCCCACACCCCAATACCAAGCGTGCGCCTCATCCCCGCCCCCCGCCCTCTGCTCTCAGGTCCAGTCCCTGCCTCTACCCTTCCCCCAGGAGCTCACAGTTCCTGGGCTCCGTCCTCAGCCCACAGCCAAGATGCCAGTGTTGAAGGGTTCTTTGTGCAGACCCTTCCTGCACCCAAGCACCCCCCTCCATGAGGCAGGCCATGGCAACCTTGGAACTGGCTAGAGCCACCCAGCACAAAGGTCTGGAGGGCGGGAAGAAGGGAAGCAGCCCACAGACACTGGGGGAGCAGGGACAGTGCAGGAAAGGCCGTGCCTGGCGCCTCCAGGAGCGGCTCCCAAGCGGGGAGAGCCAGGGTCCACGGCGAGTCTGCCTGCCTCCTCCTCACCTGGCAGACGAAGGGGAACTGGCTTCTCCCAATGTGGTAACCATCCAGCCCGAGGGGGAAGACAGCCGCCAGCGCCAGGGAGCAGCCCACAGCAGTCAGATTGTTCAAGTTGGGCTGGGAGTTCTGAATGTAACTAGGGCAGAGGCGGGAGAGGAGGAGGGCGAGGAGAATTAACCTCTTCTTCGGGGAGGCCCTGCTCTCCAGAGCCATGGGGCCTGCCCCAGCCGGTGCAGCCTGGGCCATAGCCCAGCGGGGGAGGGCAGAGGGCTCCCAGCACCCCCACCTGCACACATGGAACAGAGCCCCCGTGGTGTCCCCCAAGAACTTGGTAGTTGTCGGTGAGCTGCTCTGGAGCTGGGATGGGACTTGCGTCTGGTTTCCCCCTTTGGTGGTCACGGTCACTGGGAAGGCCAGAGTGGACACCTCGCCCCCCCACGACCTGGCAGTTACACCAGTGTCATCTCAGTCCCTGCCAGGGGCATCACGGTCTCCGAGGGGCAGAAAGGAGGAGGACAGCGTCCGAAAAGAAACTTACCGGACGTGAGAGTTGTAGATGTTAAACGACAGACACACCACAGCCAGGACGATGCCCAGGCTGGACAGCACGGAGACCGAGATGAAGAGTTTCTGGGACATGAAGCGAAATGTCTTGATGACAAGGGTCTGGTCAGCCGGGGGGGCCCCTCCTGCATGGCATTAGGGGTAAGGGGGAGATCTAGTCAGCTGGGGGCCCCTCCTACATGGCCCTGTGTGGGGGGTCTGGTCAGCGGGGGGGATCCTCCTGCATGACCACATTGGGGAGGGGTCTGGTCAGCTGAGGGGTCCCTCCTGCATGGCCCTGGGGGAGGAGTCTGGTCAGCTGAGGGGCCCCTCCTGGGTGGCCCTGGGGGAGGGGTCTGGTCAGCTGGGGGCCCCTCCTGTGTGGCCCTGGGGGAGGGGTCTGGTCAGCTGAGGGGCCCCTCCTGTGTGGCCCTGGGGAGGGGTCTAGTCAGCTGGGGTCCCTCCTGCGTGGCCCTGGGGGAGGGGTCTGGTCAGCTGGGAGGGGTCCCTCCTGTGTGGCCCTGGAAGGGGGTCTTGTCAGCTGGAGGGTCCCTCCTGCATGACACTAGGAAGTAGGGGGAGGGGACAAGGAAATGAAGGTGAGGCAGAGAAAGGGGCAAGGGACACCTGTCTCTAGCCCCGAGGACGTGGGGCCCTCGCTGCCCTGAATGCTGAGTGGGGATGCTGCGGAGCAATGCTGCCCGCAGCCCAGGGTGGCGGGGTCTCAGGAAGCAGTGGGAAGTGAGAGGAGGGGATGCAGCTGGGGGCCAAGATGTGTCACCAAAGCTGTGGTGTTTCTGGTAGTGTCTGTTCTATGATTTGTGTCTTTCTGACAGCAAAGGAAATGGGAGGGAAAGAAGGGAACGACTGAGAGGGGACGTTCGTGAGGTCTCTCAGAACTCAAATCAAAAGCTGCAGACGACAGTTGTAGAATCATAAAGCTAAGGGTTCGAAGGACCCGCCTAGCCTCCGAACCCCAGGAAGACACCCAACCTGGGAGCTTCGACCCTGGCAGGGTGATGTTCCCAACAGTGTCTTCTAGCTATTATCAAGAGGAAACAGATTTGTCAACGAGTTCACAGCAAAAAAAAAAAAAAAACCTAATTTCAATTTGCTTAGCTTTAAAAAGAGAAGTGTAATTTAGGCCATGCAGCATTTATAGCAGTAGAGAATACTGTCCTAAATTCAAATTATAAAAAAACATGTCAGAGCTCCAGCAGTGCCGGCAAATACCAGCTTCCAGTCGGGAAGGGCAGCTGGCAGCTGGCTCCGTCCCTAACGTGCCCTCTTCACCGGCAGGTCCTTCCTCCTGTCCACCTGGAGCGTCCTTCCCATGGCCGGTCGTTTGGCCCACGAAGCGCAGGAGCAACACTTGCTTTTACTTTGCCTCTTTAAAAAGCACATTTGAGGGGAAGACAACCCAGGAGGTTTTGCAACCTCTCCTATAACTTAAGCAACTAGTTTCCTGAGAAAGATGAAGAGGTGACTCCAAGCTCCAGTACCTGGTTCAGATAGATCAAGGTACCAGAACATCCGGGAGACCCACACGGGGTTTCCACGGCCACCCCCCATGCGCCGCATCTCTGATCCTATTACCTGAGCAGCGCATTACTTTTGCTAGTGCATTGCTCCCTCTTCAAATACATACCCCACCCATGTCTTAACCCGGACCCTGGCCCATCTCCTTGGCACATTTCCAGCCGATGGCACCTGCCGCCCCAGCCTCGTTCACGTGCACAACACTTGGTCTTGCTTGCTCAGAGGCACCGAAGAATACAGACAGGACCCGCTTACCGATCCACTTGTCCGTTTTGGACCAGGAAAGATCGTCCTTGGTGCTGTCATAGTAGCCGATCTTCTTGTAGCTGCCCCCTGGGCGGGAGACAACGGAAGGCTGAAGAGCCCAGCCCAGGCCCGAGCTTCTCACTCCCCTCAAGTCACTCTCCCCGCTTGCATCTGAGTCCCCGAGGGGTCCCTGGGAGGACAGGAGGGCTCTCGAGTCAGCCACCTGGCTGACAGGAAAGGCAAGGTGTCTGCCAAGGCTCACGGGTGTGTGAGAGCATCTCGGGGCTTCGAGGCCTCTGGGGAGAGGGCTCTGAGACGCCACTGCTCAGCCTCGCGCCTCTCCCGCCGATCGTCTCACACTTCGATTCTGGCTTCAGAAGCTTGCGACATCTCTGCTGAATCTCCCTCTCATGACAGACAGAATCACGGGATCTATTTTCCCAGTGGCTTTCATTTTAATTTTAGAAATTTCTCTTCTGTTGGCTTGGGTTCTAATTCCTTGGAAAGTTGCATCTGCCTCTTAGTGCCACGAGGTGGGGGGTAGTTCAGCCATTCCTAAGAATTCCTGTTCCAGAACTTTTCCCTCAGAAGCCAAAACACAGCCCTGGGGTTTGGGCTACAAGGAGGATCTGCGGACAGGTGGGAGTGGGCAGAAGAGGGCACGCTCCAGGAGGCCGCGAGCAGCGTGGGGACAGCCCGACCGGCAGAGGCCCGGCAGGTACGTGTGTGCTGACATTTAAGGAGATACAAGTGAGGAAAGCCAGACTACACAGGAGACCCGAGAATCAGAAAAGCTTGCTTAGACAGCAAGGAAATGCAGTAGGTTTCCTCTAAAAATAGCAGCTCTGCTAGACTCCGCTCGCCTGGAGTCCTCAGTCTGCACCTGACAAGGGTTAGCCCCTCAGAGCCAGGCCCCCAAAGGGAAATTTCTGAAATCACAAGGGAAGCCCCTGGAGAAAGGCAATGTGTCTGCCCCTTCCCAGGCCTGGGCATCCCCCCACCCGCACTGAGCTTTTTACTCTTATTAGATAAATGCTTGACGAACCAGTTCAAAGAGAAGAGCAGATGAGCACGCACAAGCCACCCTCCCGATCTCCTTCCTCGGGCGGTGACACCAGACCTCAGCCCGCACCCCTGGGCTCAACCTGCTACTGCCAGACCCCGTGGCCCCACACCCCTGTGCTCACCATGCACCGCCCAACCCTGCGGGCCCCCCACACCCCTGCGCTCACCCTGCACAGCCTGACCCCATGGGCCCCCACACTCCTGAACTCACCCTGCAGCTGCTCAATGAGCGTCCAGGCCATCCGGGAGCCGCTGGCATCAAACACCACGTGACCCTGCGTGCGGGAACATGCGGAGGCGGCAAAGGTGATAAAAGCGGGAGCCAGGAGAGAGCGTCAGGGCCTCTCTAGATCCTTATGTGTTTGATGTCATTGAGCCTCTGAATGAATTCTATTTATGGCATTTGCCTGCATATAGGACATACCCCAGATGCCCATACCCTAGATTTTAGAAACATTCTTCTTTGGAAAAGAAGCTTCACCCATGGGATTTGAGTGGGAAGCGTCCCCGGACAGAGCCCCAGGAGCCCCGGCCTCTGGCTGTGTGACCCAGGTGTGGCACCCAGTCCCTCTGAACGCTGTTCTCCCCACTTGGAGAGGGACAGATGACCGCTCAGACTGTCTCCTCTTTTAAAATCCTGTGATTCTCATCTGACTCATAAATATCTGGACTGAAAATAAATGAGGGAGAGGCTGAAAGAAATGGAATACAGCATCTTCCCCTCTTGCCTCATGGGGGTTTTCTGGTTTGGGGGTCTGAGATCGATCCCTGCAGGTTAACATGAGCGCAGGAAAGGAGGGCGCGCGCCCTCTTGGGGGAGCGCAGGGGAGCATGGGGGAGACTGCTGCCACTCACAGAGACGCCCTCGAAGGACGAGGAGTTCATCGCCCGGTAGATCTGGTCGGTAATGGTCTGGTTGTTATAGTTGAAGTCTTCCAGGCGCACACCGGAGCGGCCACCCCCACCGGACGTCTTGTTCAGGGCCAGCGCCAAGGCCCAGATGGCATCGTAGGCCAGCGGCGCCTCCTGGAAGCCACCAGTCTCCTCGGGGTGTCTCTTGAGCCTCTTGGTCAGTTTTTCCACAAACTCCTGGGACGTCTGCGGAGGGAAGGATGGGGCAGAGGGTTGGCGGGGGCGTGGGGCACACTCCCAACACGGCTACAGCCCTGTAATCCAACAGAGGGTGGTGTTTTGCCATCGGAGGGAGCACATGGAACTTTGAAAGCTGGACTTGGAGGGGCTGGACTGGAGCTGGGGTGAGCCGGGCACAGGAGCCTCAGCACACAGCCGCTGGCCCAGAACTGGAGCCAAAGTTGTAAGGAGTGGACACTGCACAACAGACGGCAGAAGAAAGTAGAGGTGGGCCTGCATGGCGACGTCCTCCCGGGCTCAGACATTCTCCGTGGGCCGGACCCGGCACCTCACAGCCACTGCGATTCTAAAGCAGCCTAGAGGGGCCCCGGCAGAGCCTTCCTCACTGGACCCAAGCAGCGCACTACCTCTCTGAGTGCTCTCCCCTGCTTTCAGCTCCCAGGCCCTGATGGGTTCATGGGAGACGGGGCCCCAGAGACACTTGTCACGTGATTGAAAGCTGGTGTTCAGGCTCTGCCCACCCTCCCCACCCTCTACCTTTGTTCTCCAAGAAAGCTGAAGACAAGGACAGCTCCTGTAACTCTCCCATGAAATGGGTCAAGAGACCTGAATTTCTATACCTGGCAATGACCTCGTTTGGCTAAAAACCACAGGTAAATTGCTCAAGGGTTTGGAAATGTCTATTGTGCAATGGAGAAAAACACACCTGGCCTTTCTGACCTCCCAGAAGCCACACAAGGAAAGGCTCGGTGGCCCCCTCTTCGCAAGGCAGCAGTAACAGAGAGGGCGAGATCTGGGATGTACCAACAGCCTCACCCTCTAAGGAAGGAGGGAGCAGATGAAGAATAAAAAAAATTTGTTCCCCATGCCCTGCCCGCTTTTCTCTCTACTGAACTTTCTGAAGACACGGGACAGGGGAGTGCAAGGCACAGACAGTGCGGAAACAGCCTTGGAAAACTAGCCCGGGACCGGCCACACCCGCTGCTCCACAAGCGGGAGGCCAGGACCGCGTCCCGTCCCCCTGCACACCTCTGCTCCCGGCACCGTGCCTGGCCCAGGACCAACCACGTCTGCTGCATCACATCCGCTGCATCACGGCAGGGAGCTGCTCTGTGTGGCGCTGTGAGGTGGTCCGTGTGACCGCACACCTGTCTCCCACATGGAAGGCACTGCCCAGACCACGGGGACCACGCACTCCGGGTGGGAGCGCTCTGCAGGGGAGTGCTGCCCACGGCGGACGCCGTCCAAGTGTGCGGTCCCGGAGTGCCCTCCGCTCGATTCTGCTGCAAACTCTGATCACACTAAAAAAGTTTTAAAAATATCCACTGGGCAGATAAACAGATGCATGGATGGATCCCAGGTCCAACCCATCCACCCGCCCGCTGAGGGACCTCAAACGAGTTATCAAACTGCACTGGGAGGTCATTCAGCTTTAGAATGGGGTGACACTGGCTACCTCGAAGAGCCACTACGGGAAACCACAACATATAGAAAATGCGGGGTATAAAGTCAAGTCGCAGTTTGTCTTTGAAAGTCCCCCTGTCCCTCAGCCTCACGTTCGTCATGGTCGCTCAGATCTACAGTCCAGCTCGGCATCTCATGTCCTGTGTCTCCAACTGTCTCTGCAGCATCTGATCAATAATCCAAAATTTATAATATCTACGACGAGGCTCCACTTTCCCTCACTCCCCAACACTTCCCAGTACATGAGATTGAAGGCTTGGAATCAGCAAGTCCTCTTAATTCTTCCATTGAAATGTTTCTTTTGGGTTTTTTTAAGATTTTATTTATTGGGGCACCTGGGTGGCTCAGGTCATGATCTCAGGGTCCTGGGATTGAGCCCCACATCAGACTCTCTGCTCAGCAGGAAGCCTGCTCCCCCCTCTCTCTGCCTGCCTCTCCGTCTACTTGTGATCTCTATGTCAGATAAAGAAATAAAAATCTTTTAAAAAAATAAAATTAAGGGGAGCCTGAGTGGCTCAGTGGGTTAAAGCCTCTGCCTTCGGCTCAGGTTATGATCCCAGGGTCCTAGGACCGAGCCCCACATCAGGCTCTCTGCTCAGCAGGGAGCCTGTTTCCCCCTCTCTCTCTCTCTGCCTGCCTCTCTGCCTACTTGTGATCTCTATCAAATAAATAAATAAAAATCTTTATTAAAATAATTAAAATTAAAATAAATAAAGATTTTACTTATTTCTTTGACAGAGAGAGACAGTGAGAGAGGAAACACAAGCATGGGGAGAGGAGAGGAAGAAGCAGCTTCCCATGCAGCAGGGAGCCCGATCCCTGGGATCACAACCTGAGCCGAAGGCAGATGCTTAACCGACTGAGCCACCTAGGCCCCCTCTTGAAATGTTTCATTAAGACCATCAGTGCCTACACAGAACAGTCTTAATTATAATAATAATAATATTAATAGGGGCGCCTGGGTGGCTTAGTCATTAGGCATCTGCCTTTGGCTCAAGTCATGATCCTGGGGTCCTGGGATCGAGCCCCACATCAGGCTCCCTGCTCAGTGGGAAGCCTGCTTCTCCCTCTCCCACTCCCGCTGCTTGTGGTCTCTCTCTCCCTGTGTCTCTGTCAAATAAATAAATAAAATCTTTAAAAAAATAATAATAATAAGACCTAACATTTATATTTCCTTACAATGTTCCAGGCATTTTTCCATTTTTCTGAGGTATACGTAGATAGAAACAGGCACATAAAGTTTAACTTGCTGGGAGTGACAGTGTGTGGCAGGGCTGGGATTCAAACCCAGGCAGCCTGGCCTCAATGCCCATACTCTTCCCAGGACCCTCGCGTCGCCTTGGCACGCTGACATGCCTCTCCCCGCAAGAACGCCTGCTCGGCCGCTGGCTGCGGGCTGCCTTCCTGAGTGGTCCTTCACAAGTCTGTCCCATCCCCAGTTCGACGTACACACTGGGCCACAAGAACCTCTGATGGAAGGGGATTCACGCAGCCTGCATGGTGCTCTCCCCACCCAGACCTTCGACTCTTCCCCGGCTCCAGGCCACTCGACAAACATGCTTACCCCAAAAATCGTTCCCCCTCAGGCCAGCAAAGATACCACTGCAAATTTTCAGGTGGAAACATTACTAAGCAGCTCAAGAAAAAGTAAACAGCAAAAATTCCACAACCCACAAAAATCAGTAAAGTAATCAAGGGCAGCATTATGACCCTAATTTTCTGACGGCCCTGCCGGCTGTGTCTGTGTGAGGGATGCCTGACCTTGACCTCGAGTGTACATCCTGAGGCAGCTTCTGATTTCAGATTCTACCAAGATCTGACAGGACCTCTGCCCCAATCTGTGAGAACTGGAAGAGAATGTCATCTCCAGGTAAGGCCACCTCCCAGCTGCCCCTCTAGCCCAGAGCTATCATAGGTCCCCAAAACCACTCCAACACAATCTCCCACACCGGGTTCCTTTCTAAGCCAGGGTTTCTCCATCCCTGCACGACTGACATTCTGATCAGGAGAATGCCTTGCTGTGGGGCACGGACCTCTGCGTTCCAGGCTGCCGGGAAGCATGCCCATTTACCCGCTAGACGCCGATTGTGACAACCAAACTGTCTCTGGACATTGTTCCGGCCAACAGTTCTCAAAACATGGTCTCAAATCAGCAGCATCAACAGCCCTAGGGAACCTGCTGGAAAGACCCAGACCCACCGCATCAGGACTTGTGAAGGAAGAGCCCAGTAATCTGTCCTCACCAATCCTCCAGGCCAGTAACGTCGGAGAATGAGGGCCCAAATGAAGGGACAGCAGCTCTGCTTCTCTTCTAGACCCAGTCTGCGTCGCTCTGGGTCCCAGGTCCAGCCCCTGCTTCTCATCTCCCTCTCCTGGGCCTGCCTGATGCATCCACTATCTCTTCCCTGGTCAGTCGTTATGGCTGCTCTGCCCCCTGGAAAATCCTCGCTCTCCCACTGGGCACTTCCTGCGACCACGCAGACCTGCTGTCCCTAGAAGCTCTAGGGCCCCAAAGGCACCACGTTTGTCTAGAGACCCAGAGCCAGAAAGACGACCCTCCAGCACAGTCAGCTCCAGAGCCCAGATGTCCATCCACACCCCTCCCCCGGTCACTGCTCCCTGCCAGGGGTTCCTTTAGCTCCCTGCTGTGGGGCAGAAGCCAGGACGTACAGGTCCCGGGCTCGGGGTGCCGAGAAGTCTCTGGGCTTTGGGGCCAGCTCCTCTACTTCTGAAGGTCTCCAGGATGACTCGCTTCTCAGGTGCTCTACAGGGAGGTGACCCTCCAGAATCTTCCAGGCTATGTTTCAACCACGATACCTGAAACATGAAGTCCCTCAGAACTCCCCAGGACAGTGTCCACAATCAGAGTCCGCGGACACAGTCCACCGCGAGGACAGACGGCCTGAGTCGTCTTCCTCTCCGGCTCAGAAGCTGCCGTCAGCCAGACAGTATTGCCGGCAAAGGCACAGGCTCTTCTGTCGGGCTTCCCGGTTTCCCATGGCAGCAACACGGCAGAGTGGTTTGGAGTTAGACTCAAACGGGGTCAACTGTGGCTTTCCCACTCAGCAGTTTTGGAGCCTGGGCCCAGTCCCTCAACCTCTCTGCATCAGTTTCCTGGTCCGTAGAATGGACACAAGAAACCTCCAGCCACCTTGGCTGGAGGTCACAGATACCAGGTCCCTGATTCCTGGGTTACTGCGCAAAAGCAATTATGACTACACCTCTGTTTTCAACAGGGTATTTGGGGCTTTACAACCATGAACTCGCCCCTAGTGTGCTTCCCAAAACAGGTCTTCCGGGCCTGGGGTACCCCTGGCGAAAATAAGCAGACACAGAGGTTGCCTCATCAGCTCGCCCCAAGATCCCCGTCTTCCCCCAGATAGAACCCTGAGCAAGAATAGAGCCTCGGCCTCGTGCCCTGCTCACTCGTGCCCCTCGCCTGCCGTCTGCCCCAGCCTTTCCAGATCAGGCGACATGCCTTCTAGCCCCAGGCCTGTCACCAATCAGCTCCCTGGAACGAACGGATTTCAAAAGTCCCTTGTACATCTAAAATTCTAAAAAAGGATCATTAAAAAAACATCAGGAGCCAAGCTAATTGAGTATCAGTCAGGAGTGAGTATTAAGCAACTGCAAAGGACGCTAAAGTCCCTGAGAAAACAAACCGCGTTCCTGCTCGGGAACAGCCCTAGTATCAAGGTGTGCGTGCGCACACGCGTCTATGTTGTCATCAACGCCTCTCCCTCCTTTGACTTCTCACCAACCGCTCCTCGTTGCCATGGTAACAGCCCTTCCTCTCATCAGGGGCCTCGCACACAACCACTCCCGTCCCTCTCTCTGTTCCTGCTCAAGGAAGTCAGAGCAGAGGTGGAAGCCGCAGGACAAGCCCGTGTGCCCTCCTGGGCCTGCGAGGACCACTCCCGCTCCCGCCCCCCACGAGGCGGCCCCGCCCCTGCGCTCCCCACAGCCCTGGCCAGCGGCCCCGCCCCCGCGCTCACCATGTTGGAGATGCTGCGGGTGTTGGCAGGGTTCAGCATGACGATCTCGGTGGTGATGTGGCCTTCCACTGCCTCGGTCATTTCGTCCACCGTGCAGTTGATGGACGGGTCGTAGATCTTGAACCAGTTGTCAGCGTACCACCCGATGAGGAACCAAACGTACTTCTTCCCGAAGAGCCGCTCCTTGTACACCTGGGTGCAGAGAACGAGCAGGGCTGGGGCTCTGTGGCTTTTTCTGGCCTAATTCCCTTGACGCGATCCAGCCCCTCGGGAATCAGAGGAGAGCAGAGAACTGCAGACAGGACTCTACAAGTCTTGGCGGGCGTAGAAGCCGCTCAGGGACTCCTCCTTCTAAGTTCCTCCGCAGCCAGTCAGGAAAGATGGGGTCCAGGGGATCCTGCGGGAATACTAAGGGGGAGGAAACGGAGACCCGGAGAACACACTGGGTGCGAGAAGCCAAGAGACGGAGTCGGAGCTGAGAGACAGGGATGTCATACTGACCATCGCCTCCGACCGCCGGCTACCAACCTGAGCAGAGAGACCCCATCAGACAGCCCGGGGCAGAGCCCACCCAGGCCCCTCCCGCTCCAGAGGCCAACTCTACCTCACAAAACACTTTCCGGGCTTCGGTCTCATAGAAAAGTCCCACGATGATTCGGGCATCCTGGCGCTACAGAGAGAGAGAAACCGCTCCCGAGAGCCGCCCGGAAACCCCCAAGCACTTCCACACCTTGGATTCCCTGCCCCAGAGACCTCAGTGCAGGGTCTGCTCACGGGGTGCTGGGCAAGTGCCAAGTGGACGATGAGAAGAAACGTGCCAGAACCGGAATTCTGTGACGGAACGGAGCTGCCGGCGCACGTGAGGGCGGCAGTCCCACAGTCGTGCTGCCGCACACCCACGCGTCCCGCCAACGGTTGGCTTACACGGCACCGTCCGTCCACCGTGTGCGAGGCACAGTGTGACTCCTCCCAGGACACGCGGCCTCACACTGTGCATGTGTGTACATGAAAACTCACCCACCAACGCTTCGCACACCTCAGGCTTATACGATGGTATATGCTAATTATAGCGGGGTACAGAAAAACAAAAAACAAACAAACGAAACCCACCTGCCCCTGCCTGGTTCTCCTCTCCGATCCCCCCCATCCCCCCAACGTGGTCCCTCCACAGCCAGAGCCCGCCACTCCCGAGCAGCACACCTTCAGGTTTTTGACGGGCACAGCTGGATCGGAGAAGAAGCTCTGGCGGAAAGTGATCTCGATTCCAGCCTCCTTCACTCGCTCCTCTAGGTCGTCCAGAGTCTTGGGTGGGAATGAGAAGGAAATGGAGAAAATGTGGGGCGTGCGATGGGGTCAAGAGCAGAGAGCATACGTGGGGACTGCACAGAGCAGGAGGAGGGGCGGCTCTGAACCGTCCTCCCGCCACGCCTGTCCCCAGGGCCGGGGAGGGCGGCAAGGAGAGCGTCTGCAGCCTCGGGATCCACACTCAACCCAGGAAGGTGCGCGAGAGCCCCTCCTGCGGGTCTGTGTCCCGGGAGGTGGCCCCACTCACCCCACTCCCACCAGGCAGCGAGAGCAGGGGAAAAGAGAGAAGACGCGGGGAGAACGAGACAGGTCTGGTGTGCACAGCACGGTCTCAGCTCAAGGGCCAGAAGCGCAGACAGAGGCGTCAGAGAAGGACGCCCTGAAGGACACTGAATGTAAGGGAGGATGGGGGGCCCGAAGACTGGGAGAAGTGAGAGGACCGGACTGTCTTCTCCAGCGCCCAGCCCTACATTTCCTCTCCCCACTCCCATGTCTCCTGTCTCTCTGCCTCCCTCCCTTTTCCTTTCTCTCCCTCCTTCTCTGTTCCCTCTCTGTTCCTGCTGTTCCTTCTCTCTCTCTCTCTCTCTCTCTCTCTCACACACACACGCGCGTGCGCCCGCACACACACAAGTGCCTGGAATTTGCTACCTTTCTTGGTTCATATCTTATATTCCCTCTCTTATCTCAACTTTGGAGTGAACCTACTTTAATGGAAGTGGGTCATTTTGGGTCTATCCACCTGGGAAAGAGAGCATCAAAGGGAAAAAAGTGTCCTAAAACCAAAAACTTGGAAAGGATCCCGAAAACCTAACTCTGTTTATTCCTCTGGCTCCAGAGAGAACATGCGCTTAACCCACTCAGAATGTGTTTGCTTTTGATAAAGAAACAGGTTCTTTGGGCGCCAGGGTGGCTCAGTGGGTTAAGGGTCTGGCTTTGGCTCAGGTTTCGATCCCAGGATCCAGCCTGGCGTCAGGGTCCCTGCTCGGCTGCAAGCCTGCCTCTCCCTCTCCCTGTGACCCTCCCCCTGCTCACGTGCACACTCTCTCTCTCTCTCTCTCTCTCTCTCTCTCTCTGTGAAATAAATAAACAAAAATATTAGAAAAGAGAAGAGAAGAAAGAAACAGGCTCTTCTCTCCGGGAGGAACCCTGGCCACCGCCCCGGGCGCGGGGCCGGCCACGCAGGCCTGCTCACCGAGGTGAAGACCTCCGTGGTCTGCTGGATGGTGGCGATCCTCCTCCAGCCCCACTTCTCAAAGAGCTTCACGCGTGTGGGGTTGTGCAGCGTGGCCGACGGATGAGTCCGAAAGAATGTGGGAAAACGCTGCCGGTTGGACAGGGCCGGCGAGCTGGAGCCATAGGACAGCTGAAGGACAGGGACACGGTGCGGGACAGGCTCGCCCAGAACTCCTCTGCAGCCCTGCTGGCTGCCCCAAGCCTCCTGCCCACCTCTGCCCTGTGCGCAGCGGCTCCCATGGCCCACACGCCCGCAGCTCAGGTCCTGCTGAGGAGGAGCGGGGAGCTGCGGCTCTCGGGCTCTCGGGCCACCGCTGGACGAGGCCCCAATGGCCTGGGAGTCCCGGAAGTGGCCCCCCCACGGCCCCCCATTCTCAGCCTTCCGGCCCGGCCTACCACGATGAGGTTCCACATCCTGGCAGCCTCGGCCACCAGCGTGGACACGGAGCTGCAGCCGGGCATAAGGATGATCTTGATGGGGTCATTGTAGAGCAGCTCGTACAGGTACTTGGTGGCTTGGCCTGGGTCACACTGAAGGGGGAGGGGTAAGCGTCAGGGGTCCCCAGCAGTCCAGTCACTTCTCAAGTACCCATCCCCCATGTCATCAGCACCACGTTCCTCTCCTTCCCATCCAGTCTCTGGGCTCCCCTCACGTACAAAGCCCGCCCCTCGTCTTCCCCTGCACCTTTACCCATGCACACACCTCCACCACAATCCCTGCAAAGACCACCTTTCCTCCCTTCCTCCCCCCCCCCCACCTTCCTCTGTCACCTTGTCCCCTTCCCCGTGTTTCTAAGCTCCCAAGGTCTGTGAGTTTTAGGAAAGAGTCTGCAGGAATGTGAATGAACCCCCCCCCACAAGTCCCCAGACAGCCTCCTCAGAGCCAAGCTATGGAAATTCCTCCTTCCGCCTCTACTCCCTCTCCGTTGGCCCCTGTTGGTCCCCTGCTCCTCTCTTTTCCAGGCTAGTGATAAATAAACACGAGGACAACAGGGAACAAGGTCACTAGGGAGTCCTGTTTGGCTATCCCTCCCCTCCTGCTGGGCCCTGACATTTGACCAGTCCATTAGAAAAAGAGGCGCTTCAGAGGGGGTGGCAGTGGGGGAGAAACAGGGGAGGAAGACCTGGAGAGAACAAACAGTGTGAGGTTCTCAACAAACCAGATGCTTTTAGGGGTGCCTGAGGGAGGGGCAGGGAGATGGGGAAAGTAAACAATGCAGAAAGCTGGGAAGGGAAGGGACATGGGAAGGAAGAGCCGCATGGTGTCCCCCTGCCTGTTCCCCTCCTGCTGGAGGATGACATTTCAGAAGCTGCTGGAGCCCCAGAGGAAGTCAAGAATAAATGAAAGGCCGTAGGGAGCCAGGGCAGCGGAGGCACAGGCAGGCGGCACAGGGGGCTGGGGACGGTGACATGGGGGCAGGCCAAGCAGGAATAAGGAAGGCCCCTAGAGCCTGCTCACTTCCCACTGGGGCCTGACATTTGAGACACCATGGGAAGCTGGAGGAGGGGAGCCGGTGGAGCAGGAAGCAGCCTCTGCGGCCCCCCACCCCGCGAAGGGGTGTTTTTGAAGACTTTGCCCTCCCATCCAGCTTCTCGGAGCATCTCGGCCATTCTTGGACCCCACTGTCCCGCACTGCCCTAGCAGGTTACCCCAGATCCTAGCCCAGTAGCCCTGCAGCCTGGGAAAGGGTGGCAGGAACAGGGACACATAAGAGCACATACAACACATACACAGGGCGAGGACGCAGGCTGATCCAGGGCTCTTCTCGCTTGCTCCTTCCTCCCCTACTCTCCCTCTTCCACACTCAGTTCCTCCCTGCAAATTCCCTGATTCTCACCCCCTCCCCAATAGACTTCCTCTCAGCCTCTCCTCCGCTCTGTCTTCTGCGAAGGCTCCGGATTTGCAGGCAGGAAACCACACATTCCAGTTTGCCTGCTTTCCGCTCTCCCTCCCTGCTTCTTCCAGTTTCTCTTCCATCTCCCTTCTCCCAGGCCCCCCATCTGCTCCCCAGCACCTCCGGGGAGTCACCTGTCCCAGAGCATGAGTCTGAGATCACACACGGGGCTATGGGGCTCCCAGGATCCCTGTGACCCCCTCTCCTGGCACCCATCCCTCCCAGTTTCTCTCTGCAGGCTCCCACCTCCAGCAGACCCAACCCTCTGCTCCTCTCCCTGCCTCTCCCCACGACACCTCATTTTTTTTCCTGGTACTGCTGCTCATTGACAAGGACCCTAGGGGCAGCCACTAAGGCACACCAGGACAGGATGAATAATGGTAAAAACGCAGATTCTTGGGATTCGTTCCTGACCATGGAGTTCGTCGAATCTGTTTTAAACCCAGTCCTCTGGTGAATCTTGTGTACACAGAAGTTTGGAAATCCCTGCCAAAGTGTCAGGAGGGGTTTGAAGTCCTCTCTCCAAGCTGTGCTCTCTTTTCTCCAGGCACCCCACCTTCAACCCCACTCCGCCCGCTCCTCCCTCACAAACCTATTTGTCGGTGCAGACAGCTGCTCAAAAGAATGAGGACACATCCTGGGTCCACCCAAGAGAAATGACCACAACCTCACCTCTGACCTCCACTCTCCTCTCCTCCAGCCCCGCGGGAGGCTGGGGCCGCATGTCAGAGAAGATAAATTTGAGGTCCCAAGTCTCTTTCCTTCCCTGTGCCACATCCTTCCCCACACTCCCAGTCACTCACAGGGGATAAGGTGGGAAAGGAGTCTTATGGGGCCACCCTGTGCCACCCAACCCAGATGTTCTTTCCTTCCCTTTCCTCTCTTCCCCACCACCCTCACCCTACATCCTACTTTCCTCCTCACATCTTGGAGGCCACAATGCTGTAAGGGAGATAATCTTAAGACCCAAGTTCCACAGGACGCCCAAGAATTGAGCTCTGTCCCACACCTCCTCATCGCCCCCTCCCCTACTACCATTCTTTCCTGCTCCCTCTCCTGCCTCTGTCCAGACACCCCCCTTTCCCCACGCGACTGTGAGGGTTCCTGTGTGGACCTCTAATCCTCTCATTTTCCCAGTGCCTCTGCCCAGCCCCGGACCATTCGCTTTTCCAGAACATGATATGCCACATATCCCAGTCTGGGAATCCTCAGCAGGACAGGGCTCACAGCTGCCCCACTGTTTGTTGTGACAAATAAACCAGAGCGCTCTAGTCCCTCAAATTTTTCCTTATTCGGTCCCAACCTGCTGCCAAGATTACCTTGTTACCATGGTAAATCGGAAGCCCTGCTCCAGCTCACCCCTGACACCTCCTCCATCCCCGGAACCCATCCCAGGGTTAGTTGACTCCCCGGGACCAAGATCAGCTTGTACCATAAATCCACCACCAGTCTCCCCAACCCTCCCCCCACTTCCCTGCGTCCTGGGGAGCAGAAGGGTCTGCCTCACAGCCTGATTCACCCTCCTAAGCCCCTAGACCCTCATCTTGAACCTGCAGCCCCTGTGACTGTCCCCAGGCTTGCCCACCCCCAGCCCCTCTCCCGCTAGTCACACGTGGGAGGGGTCTGCTTCGGAATCCGGAGTCCCTCGGACCGAGGCGCGCGCGGCTGGCTCCTGCCCCCCAGACCCCCGCCGCCCGCCCACTCCCACGTCCGGGGCTACCTTGCTGTCGTGGTGGATGAGCTTGAGCTCATAGTCCGGCAGGATGTCCCTGCGGCTGTTCACGTCCTCCAGCGCCATCTCCACCGCGGGCTGGCAGGCCTGGCCCCCGGGCCAGCCCCCGCTCATGGGGAACAGCGCCCCGATGTACACTGCGCGCCGTTCTGAGGAGGGGTGCGGGGGGACCCGCGGGTGAGGCCGCGGGAGATGAGGGGAGTGGGAGGCCCACACCGGAGTCACCCCCGTCGCCATCACCACCAGCAGCGGCAGCGGCCACCGCACCCGGGGAGCGGGGACCCCCGGACCCATGGCCGGGAGGGAGAGGGGCTGTTTGGGGAGGGGGAGGAGCTCAGGGGGGACACTTTTCCTGGGGAGGGCTGCTGAGGGGGAGTCGAGGAGGCGCCTCCATCTCGGCTTGTGTAGGGAGGAGGGGGCGAGGGCCCCAGGGAAGCGGGGAAGGTCGGCTTCCTAGGGCCCCCGCGGCTCCAGCTCCCGCCACGGCCACCGCCACCTCCACCGCGGACTCTCCTCGCGGACTGACTGACCGACCGAGGGGAGGAGGAGGAGGAGGAGATGGCGGGCTGGGAGGGGGCCCTGACGTCACGCGCGGCGCGCGGCAGCTGCGGGGGGGAGGGGCGGGGAGGGAGGCGCGCGCCGCCGTGGGAACGACAGGCGGAGGGGAGGGGCGGGGAGAGGAGGAGGACGCGACCCCCCCGCGGAAGAGGCCTGGACGGGGAAGGGCGGGGGTCCCACCTAAGGGGCGGCGGGGGAGGAGCCGAGAGGGGAAGGGGCGTGCCGGGAGGGCGGGGTGGGCCGAAGCGCCGGGGAACCGGGGATGCAGACGCGCAGGACGGCGGTGGGACGCGCGCGTCTCAGTCGGGGGTGTGGATGGATGGGGCGCAGGGCTGAGGGTGCGGGGGACAGGGCGATGGCAGCGGCTTAGGAGAGAGGTGGTTGGGTGGGAAGGGGGTGGCGTGAAGGGGAGTGATGGGGCGGAGGCTGGAAACCCGGGGCTGGGGAGACAGAGCTCGGGAAGGGATGGGAGCTGCGAGAAGGGGAAGGGTGGAGTGGAGGGAAGGGACGGCCGTGCGGAGGAGCCGAAGGGGGGAGAGCCAGGCCCGGCCGGGGGGAGACGGCAGCGCGGGGCGGCCGGGGTCGCCCGGCGGAAGCCCGCGGGGAGCAGGCGGCGGACGCGCGGGGTCTGCCCGCGCCCCCAGCCGCCAGCCCGGCTCTGCCCTTTGGCCCGAGCGGAGTCTGGGAGGAGGCGGAGCCCGGGGCAGGGCAGCCAAGCGGGGAGTTGGGAGGGACCGCAGCCTCGCAGAAAACCGGCACTGGAGGCAGAAAACAGGTAGGGAAAGAAGGGGCGGCCGCGAACTGGGACGGGGGCGGGTCGGGGGCAGAAGAACGAGACCCCACAGCCTCGGGGCAGGACCCCTGGGGATGGAGGGTGAAGAGTGGGGGGCAAGGGGGTTGCAGTGCGCGAGATGAGGGTTTATGATCTCACCTGAGTGCGGCGTTCGATTCACTGGCAGCAGGAAAGACGGGGATCAGAGAAGAGTTACCACTGGCGCCCAGCTTCCCCGGCCAGATCCCCAGCCCCCTCCCACACCTGTCCAGGCCGGAGAGGACCGGGTAGAGCAGAAGCCTGCGTTTCTGAGGGGAGGGTGCCTGGGGATAAGAGCAAGGTGGGGCTGTGGGTCAGGACCTGCCGGTTTTCTTCTTTTATTTTTCATAGGACAACAGAGTTTGAGACAGGAGTGCCAACAGCTAAGACACGGGCAGATCCTGGTTTTGTGGAGCCTAAATATTATTAAATGCAGGGGTCTCTCTTTAAGAGAAAAAAATACAAATACAATTGATTTTAAACCATTGCCTTTAAAATCTTACTTTTGTATTTTTTACGAAAGCTATGACCATGCGAACACATTATATTACATCACAAGAAGAACCCTGTGTGAAAGAGGGTCCCTGACACTTAAACTGTAGTAGCTTCATGGTAAACCCACCCCCGGTTGGGGTTCTCAATTTCCGGAATGGAATGGTAAACTACACGCAGAATAGTTACATTAAGGGAGGAAAGCCAGGTCCAGAACCTTGAAAGAGTCTACAAGAGTGGGGGAAGCATGAGGTATGCCTGTATCCCTCAGAGAAGACTACAAAGGGAGAATCCGGGTGCCTAGGAAAGGGCAGATTCTGCAGAATGAAATGCCCAAAAAAGGTGTTGGACACAAGACTGAGTCCCTTGGGAATGATGGGGGTTGTCTGAGAATTCCAGAAAAGGACTGTCCCTTTCCCCTCCCCCATCCCTGTGTGGTCCTTAGTGCTCTGACAGTTCTGCCCCCAATTTTAAGTCTTTTTAATTTTTACCCTGATAATTTTCCACCCCAGATATTCTTTCCAATCTTAACATTTTTTCTAAGTATGACATATGATTTATTTCTGAGTCTTTACAATAATCCAGTTATATAACAAATGGAGAGGAATCAGTTGTAGAGGAGAGTTATGCATAGAAAGCTCTAAGTTTAGAGAAAGGGACTGAGGCTAGGGGAAACTGGAATATTCAAGCCTTAAGAAAGGTAATAGAGGGTGAGACTCAAAAAGGAAAAGAGAACATGTGAAGATTTGGGAGCAGGGAGGAGATATAAAAGAGGGAGGTAGAGGAAGGAAGCCCCAGTGTAGGTAAAGTGGGCACTGGGGACTGCAGAAGGGGGCTGGAGACAGGTGGGAGGGGAAGAAGAGTTAGGTTTTCACCTCCAGTCCCCCAAAGCCTCCCATCTTGCACAGCTCCCCATCCTTTCCCGCCCGCCCTTCCCACCCTGCTCCCGTCCTCCGCAAGCGCCCTCAGCGGCAAGCAGGCGGCCAGTCCCTCACCCTGGCACTGCGGCTTGGGAGTGCTCCACTGGCCCTGACTACAGATGCTCCTGGAGCTGCCCACAAGATGGAAGTCAGGGTCACATCGGAAATCCACCCGGGCTCCGTCCAGAGCAGGGAGGTCCCCACCCGTGAGGAAAACCTTCCCGTTCTCCAGGGCCAAATAGGACTTGGAGCAGATTCGGACTGTGGAGAGATACGAAAAATGAGAAAGAGAGGCACGTTGGGGAAGGCTCCTTCCCCTTAAAGAGCAGGGAGGGGCCTCCGATTAGGGCTTGGGGCCTCCAGCGTCCTCCTCTGCAGGAAATCACGGGTGCAAAGGACTTGCCTCTCTAGCTTCCATTCCCGCCTGAAGCCTGTAAGCATCCACACATTACCAACAGGAAAAAGGAAAAAGCCTTTCCGAGGTAGGAACCCGAGATGGAGCTATAAGCACACAGAAGGGGTCTCTTCAAAGTCAGCGGCAGTGGGCGGGTCCCTGACAGTGGGCGGGTCCCTGGCGGATGGATGTAACTTTAGATGCACAATCAGATTTACCTTCCTTGTTATAGCTGACTTACACTAATGTCGAACTGGGTTTTGCTTTGTGGGTATATGATCTCTGCGTTGGAGACAGAGGTATTCAAAAATGCCACGAAATCATTCTGAGTGTTTTTGCACAATCTGCCACTAATCCTCCTCAAAGAAAAGAACTCACAAGATGAGCATTTTATCAGAGGGTCCGTGGCCTAACGCAGGGAGGATGAGATGAAATGAAAGGTATGTGCTAACTTGACTCCCTCCAAGTGCGCATAGTAAAATCCTTCTCACACAGTGTCTGCTCCATAAACAAATCTGGATTTTGTTGCAGTGGATTTAAAGTGCTGACTTGTAAGCAATAATGCTAAGTTTGAGGCAGGAAGAGGAAGGGTCTTGAAGAGAAGAGGGGCTTTCCCAGGCTACTCACCGCATCTGCTGGGCGTGTCCATGTCCGTCCAGGAGCCGTTGGCCAGGCACTTCCGGACCTTGGGCCCCACCACCTCTCGCTCGCCCCGGCACACATACTCAATCTCATAGTCCACGGGCAGGAAGTTGATAGCCTTCACCTGGTCCCGAGTCAGGCCCCTGTACCTGATGCCCCCTTCCCAAGGCGGGTGTATGATCTGGCAACCTGAGGGGTGAGTCCCAGGAGTCAGAGAGGGGTGGGAGGCGGGCAGAGTCAGCTTCGGGAAGCACAGGAGCCTAGGGCGCGGTCAGTGGGCAGGTGGCAGACCAGAGCCCAGGTGGGATGCAGGGGGATGGGTGCAGAACCCTGGGCTAAAGGACAGGGAGCCCTGAGCAAGGGTTAAGGCCAATGAGAGCTCACAAGTGAGGAAGGAAGCGCGCTGTCTGGGGGTAGTGGGAAGATTGGGAATCCGTGAAAGGGTACAGTGTGCCAGTGAGCCTGGTCAAACAGGCTATAGGAGGATTTCTGAGTAAATTAGGAGGAGAGTAAAGGGGGGCTTCTCCTCTACCCAGGCAGCAGTGTGGGCAGGAAGGAGGGGTGGGGTCGAGAAAACAATGCAGGGTCACCGAAAGGTGGCCCATGCAGTGACGTGGGGCAGAGAAGAAGGAGTGCTGGGTCAGAGGCGGGATGAGGGAAAGGGGGTCAGGGGTGTTGACATGAAGCCGGGCGGACAGGATGGGCAGGCCGGGATGCTATCTATGTAGGGCTGACGGGATAGTAATGAGGACCAGAAAAGGGGTGCAAGGACAGCGGAGTGGTGGGGGTGCCCGAGGTCGCCGGTGAAGGCGCACCTTCTGAGGTGGCGTTGGGGGTCTGCGCCCCGCTCGCGCCCGGGGGCCGGAGGAAGAGCGGCGGCAGCAACGGCAGCAGCAGCGGCAGCAGCATCTGAGTGACAGGCGGCCGTGAGGACCGGACCGAGCTCCGCCGGTGCGGCTCAACCCGGCGTGCGGGTGGCGGGGGGGGATGCTGCCGCCCGGCCTCGCTCGCCCGGCCTCGCGGGCTCCGACCCGGCTCCGACCCGGCTCCGCCTGCGGACCAGACGCGCGCCCCGCGGAGGAGGCGGGGGCGGAGCCCGGCGCGGGGAGAGGGGGGAGGAGAGAGCGCCTGTCCCCACCCTCCTCCTGCCTCCCTCGGCCCCCCACCCTCCCGGGACTCCACCTCTAACCACCTCCTCTCCCCCGGCCCCCGCAGCTCTCCGAGCCCCGCGTCCCCGCGCGCCCCGGCCGCTGCCCCGCGCGCCCCGGCGCGGCCCTCCCCCGCGCGCCCCTCTCCGAGCCCGGCTCCCGGCCCGGCTCTTACCTCGGCGCGCCGGCCCGGCTTCCCGGCTCTCCCGGCCTCTAGGCCCCAGGCCCGGCCGCTCCTCCCGCTCCCCCTCCTTTCTCCTCAGCCTTCCCCTCCTCCCAGCCCTCCTCCCCGCGAATCCGGGTTCCTGCCCGGCCAGGGTCTCGCTCCCCTCGCGCTCCCCCAAACCCCACCCCGGTCTCTCCTTCCCGGGGCGGCAGCGGCCGCGGGAGCGGGAGCCGGGAGCGAAGGAGGCGGCGCCGGGGACCGGGGGAGGCTCCGGGCGGAGGGAGGAAGGAGGGTGCGGAGAAGACAGGGCGGGGGGAGGGAGGGGGAGACCGAGGCGAGGGCGCCTCCCACAATCCGAACCCCGGGAGCCGCCCCGGATCCCGGCCCCGCCCTGGACCGCCCACGGCGGCGGGCGGGGAGGGGGGGGTTGGCGGCGGCGGGCTTGGGGGGAGGCTGGGGCGCGCACCGGATCTGGGTGGGGGCGAGGGGCCCCGAGCGGAAGGCGGAGGAGCGGGTGCCGGGCTGGGAATCGGTGCTGCAGGTGGAGAAGGACGGCAGCACGAGGAGGAAGCCGCTCCGGACCGGGGTGAGAGCAGGGAGGCGGGGGCCGGGGCCACGAGGGGAGCGAGGCCGGTGGGAGGGAGAGGAGAAGCTGAGGTCAGACCGCGAAGGGCGGAGGAGGCGGGTGAAGGCCGGTCGCCTCGAGCGCCTCCTGCGGCCCAGCCGCTCTGCCTAGCTGCCCTGGGCGGGCAGCTGGGGGGAGGACCGGAGGCGAAAGCCGGGGAGGGGAGCGTCCGCAGAGAAATGGAAGTAGTAGAAGGGGAAAAGGGAGACAAAGGAGACTGCAGCGGGCTGGAGCCAACCGTTGTCTTTCTTCACTCCGGCCGGGCCTGTCAGGATTTCTGGGTAGTGGGGAGCCGGAGCCGGGAGCCTGCGGGGACTTGCAGGCCTCTGGACGGTTCCCTCGGGCTCCTGGCCTTTGTGCGGTGGTAAGGCTGTGCGCGAGTGTGTGTGTTCATGGGAGGGAAGGGCGTGTGTGTTTGTGTGTGTGTGTGCATGGGAGTGAGTCTGGGCTGCTAGAGGAGACAGGGGACTCCTTGGGGGTGGGGGGGAGCTCACTTCGGGCTGGTCGCAAAAGAGGTGGGGAAAGGCGGATAGCGTGAGGCTGATGGGAACGAACTGAGGGTCTCGGCCTTCAGGCTTCCCAGTGAATCCTTTGTACACTGAATTGAAATTCATAAATGATACAACCTACCTACACACGTAACTATTAAAGGTCAGCATGATTCCCTACCTGTGCCATAAGGGGGCAATGGAAAGCAATAATTTGTACTACGAGAACGTGAGCCCCGTTCTGTGGTGTGGGTGCTGAGCCCTGACTACGCTGGAGATAGTAATCAGGAAGGAGGGAGACTCACAGGTGTGCAACTCTGCAGGTGCTGGGCACAGGTGCCCAGCACCTGCAGCGTGCTGCCGTCCGTTATGTGATGTCACAAAATGTTGAACAACTCTTGGTAGCCAAGTCATTCTTCCCTAAATTTTCACAGAACTGTAATTGCATTCCTAGAAAGTTCATTGTATATTAATACCATCTTTCAAACAGTATTAATTTCTAGGCTTAGATAATTAAACACAGGTTTTCACCTACATGAAGGCCCTAGGGGACACTTGAGATTCTGGATGGGGGACGATTCACTGTGCAGGCTATGCTCGGAAGAATTTCTTCTCCTCAATGGCAACAGTGGCTCCCCTCATCTCTGTAATTACACAAGAAGAGCCCGCAGCTTTTTAAAAACATTCCCGAGGGAGTGGTTGAGACCCACTGAGCTAGAAAATGGGCAGAAGAGACTAGGGCAGGATTTCTAACCACTCAAAGCAACAGCCACCCTCCTCTGAGTGGCCGGCTGTCCTCTCTGCAGGGCAGGACCAAAAAATGTGTGTGCCAAGGAAAATAAAGTTCTCAGCACCAGGGTGAGAGATTTCCCAGACTGCTCTGAAAAGAAGCCGTTTCCTGCCTGCGCCCAGTCTGGGGCTAGTTCGGCTGTCTGGCCTGGAGAACACCATCTCTCTGGGCTACTGTGTGGTCCTGGCTGCTGGCCCAGAGGACGCCCTTCCCAGACCCAGCATGGCCTTTCTGTTCGGAGGCTCTGCACAGACGCCCTCTCAGGAGCCTGCAAATGAGTTCTCAAGGTGCCATCTCATCTTCATTCTGGCCACTCGTCTCTGGCCTCCCCCAAGTCCTGGCTGCTTTGCCATGCTGAAGTGAGGGGGTGGGAGGATGGAATGCCCCCTGGCAGAGGAATCTGTGGTTCTGTGAAATTGAATATTATTCTGGTGGTATTTCTGGCCACGCTGCAGTGCTAAAGCAGAAAAGGAAACCACCGTCCCGTCCAAATCACAGAGTATTGGTTTCATACATTGGAACGTATCCATCCAAAGGCAGAGATATGAAAACACGCGTAAGAGAGGAGCTAATGACATGACCAGGGGAAAATACGACAGTTTGAGGAGGGAAAAGCAGAATACAAAATGCGTACAACTGTGGTATATGTGTTTAAAAGCTCAAAGAAAACGCCTCAGAATAACAGTAATCGCCCCACGGGCCATGCATTATCAGCCTCCTTCCTGGTGGTGGTGTTAGTCAGCTTTTGCTCAGATGTTTTACGAGTGTTACCTTTCTAGTCATTTACATTTTCTTTGTAACTGTCCTAAGCAGTTTGAAACTGCTCACTTTCTCCCACAATAGCTGCCACTTCCTCCTTTGACACTGTTTCCTCCTCAGTGTCTGTTCCCAGACCCAGGCCCACGTCCCTCGGGACACTCTCTGAAGTCTTCCCTCATCAGTATCCCAACCCCGCACTCCCAGGGCCAATCCACTCCTTCGCCTTCCACACCAAGCAGCAAACGCTCTCCTCTGGGAAGGACCCACTCAATCCCATCCCCTAGTACTTGTGCCTTTGGTGACACGACCTTTTACAGTTTTGGATACGTTTCAGAGATGGTAGCATTCCTGCTCAGATTACCTGAGAACAGGACCCGTCTTCCTGTTCCTTTTGTCTCTCAACCTTCTTCTTCCTTTCCTGTCTTCTGCCGAACATGTAGAGAGTAGAGCCCAGAACTTTAACACCCCACATGCCCTGGTAACATTAACCAAGGTAGCTGAATTAAGGATGCTCTGCTGGGTGCTGGGTCCTTTCAGAGGACAGCTCACATCATTCTTACACAGCCAAGCAAAGTAGATATGAGGTCCTTAGTTTGGAGACCGGTGAGCTGTGATCTGGGGAAACAGTACAAATCAGAGGTCACCCAGCTATGAAACTGACAGAGCCAATATTTGAACTCAAGCCCCTTAGTCCGTTTCCAAATTCTTCCCCTGTGTTCCAAGATTGAGTCTCAAGGCCCTTCCCTGACCCAACCCCGAGGCATTCTTGTCAGAGCTCAAGGAGCATCCCGGTGCTTCCCATCCAAATTAGTGAGGAGTGGTCTGTGGTGGGGGGCGTATTCAGGTGAGAGTCACATCTTCAAGGACTGTCTTCTGTCCTACACAGCTCGTGTGGTGGAGAAAACTCGAAGGGACAAAAGCTTAAACTTCAGTCATGGAGTTAATTACAAGCCACGCCTCAACTTGGCCTTCTCCTGAAGGCTGGAACCCTTGCTGCCGCACTGCCAGGAGGGGGTCCGGGGGTAAGGGAAACCATTCTTCGGCAAATGCTCGCAACTGCTCCCCATGTCCAGCTCTAGTCCTGTTGTGCGCTCTCAACTGGGCCCGCCTTGGGGCTTTGTGCTGGGAAGAGGAGCCGGCAGAGTGACTGTCACCCCTAGCGTACCTTCCTGGCACACACAGGGAAACCCAGGGTGCGATCAGAAACCTCAGGGAGATGCAGGAGCCACGGGGCAGTTCCGGCCCTTGTGCCACCTCCCCTCCCACCAGATGCTCGGGTCAGGGGCAGCACTGTCTCCATCGCCGGATTTCAGAGTCGAAGCTTCTGTGACTAACTCCTCTGTAAGGGAGGCCTTCGTGGTAAGGAAGCAAACACAGTGTCCCAAAATGCTAGGCTGGCCTACACAACAGAAAGGAAAAAAGCTTGTCTATCCCTCCTGAAGGGCAGGGGAGGCCAGGGCAACAGATTGAGAAAGGAGTCGGTTCTCACAGACAAATGTCGTGAATATTTCTATTCCTGGAACTACAAGAGGATCGGATTTTTAAGATTTCAAAACCAACCCATCTTATGTTTAGTTAAATACACATAACGAAGTCTCGAGCAGGTATGAATAGTGGCGCCAGCCCACAAACCCTACGGGCCATCAGGCATGTGTGCACTTGGAGATCGCGTTTGTAAGGTCTGTGCTTGTGCATTTGGCTGCAACAGATTTCTCTCTCCCTATGTCCAGTTCAAGGAGTGACAGTGAAGGCACCTGGGGACTCAGTAAGGCGCTGACCTTCGGCTCAGGTCGTGATCCCAGGATCCTGGGATCGAGTCCTGCATCAGGCTCCCTGCTCAGCGGGAAGCCTGCTTCTCCCTGTCCCTCTGCCCCACTCCTGGCTTTTGTGCACACACGCTCTCTCTGTCAAATAAATACAATTTTTCTTTTAAAAAAGAGAAAGAACTGATCATGATTTTTCACTTATTCAGACCACACCAGCGTGCTAGCCAAATACTCAGAGAAAAAAGACACGTCACCACATTTTTCTAGTAGAAACCATGGAATGCTGAGAACTCCACTCTGATGTGTGTGTACAGGTATGACATCTGTAAGGACACAATCACGTTTCTGCAATTTTTTTTAAGCTTATTCATTCATTTGAGAGAGACCATGAGTGGAAGGGGCAGACGGAGGGGGAGACAACTCAAGCAGATTCTTCCCTGAGTCTGGAACCCCATGTGGGGCTCAACCTCAGGACCCTGAGCTCGAGACAGGAGCCAAAACCAAGAGTCAGTCACTCGACTGACTGTCGCTCAGGCACCCTGAAATACATGATTGTTGACATTAGGTGCAGTTAGCAAAGACCATGAAGACCTTCACATCTGGTCTTGCCACCAAATGAGTCAGAAACAACATTTTTGATTTTCAGAGCACTGTGGGTTTTGGAATTATAGAATAGGGTGTGTGGAACTGAGTGTACAAACACAAGCAAAGATTTACGAAGGAGGTTTTAGGAGTCAAGTGAACAAATCTGAGGCAACAGACTAGAGATTCTACTCATGGAAAAGCCATAAAAACACCAGCCCGGATCCCTCATGATGGCCCTGTATGGAAAACTGTGACCCTACTGCCGTGGGTGGGGTGGGTCCAGCCCTGTCCAGGGACCCAAATGGACAATCCTAATCTGAGCAGAGGGAAAGCCTGCGACAGGCGCGAGCAGGTCTAGGTCTAGCTATCTAGAGCAAACCAACACCTGCAGGTTTTAACTCCTCCTTCCCTGTCCCTCTGAAACTCAGAAAGTCAGCGTGACTCATACACACCTCTGGATGCTTTCTCGGCATCTGTGACCCCTCCATTGGCCCCAAGACACCTTCCCAGTGCGTGACTTACGAGCCACTCACATCATCCGTTTTAACCCTCCCGGCCTCTCTGGGGCACTCTGCTATGACTATGATGCGTTTTCTGAAGAGGAAGCTGCAGCTCAGAAAGGTGGAAGGACACCCCCAAGGTCACACCGCCCGTGCCTACAGCCTGGGGCTGCAGCCTAGACCTCTGCTCCTCCCTCCTGCTCCTGATGCTCTAGCCATCCCAGCCGACTGCGTCCTTGCGCCTTGCCCACACACTGTGGGAGCAGGCAGCCCGGACCGCCCCTGCCGTCTTCTCCCCTCCCGACAGAACCCACGCCACCCAGCCAGGGGCTCTCCCAGCACAGCCTTCACCATCCAAAGCACTCACCTCAGTGGTCATTGCTTTTCAATTCTAGAACCATGTATGTAATACCTGCCTCCTGACCAGGCCTTAAGCTCCGTGGGAGCAGGGACCCTGAGCAGGGTTCTCGCGTCCTCCCCATAGCCACGGCACAGCGCCTGCCACCTGGTCGGAAGCGTCGTGAGAGACCAAGCAACAAAAACATCTTCTGACTCAATAATCGGTTTTCACTGCACAGTGCGGGTCATCTCAGCAGTTTCCAAGCCTGAGGACCTCTTGCTGGTCTGCTGTGTGTGCCATCCCTGAGGCCTTCCTGAGATGCCCTGTCGCTCACTCGCTCCAGGATGTGGGTATGGGGCTCAGACAAGCTAGAGTGCTTGGTAAGCCTGAGACACTGACAACTGTTAGTGCTTAAAATTTTATTCTCGAGAGAAGTAGACGGAAGACGAACAATGATCCAGTCCTCCAAGAGAGAAAGGGTCTGTGTGTCAGCGGACGAAGGTAGCAGGCACTCACTGAATGTGTGGTTGACTTACAAAGAGAATCCTGGGGTTTTCCCAATTTCCCAGCCCAGGATGCGCACTTCGCCACATCCTCTGCCAGGTGCAACTCGGAACGCCCCAGTGTGGGAAGCAGAAGCTCAGGGAGGCCGTGAGCCTCCTGTCCGAGTGCTACACCCAGACTCTCAGATCTTTTCTATCCGGGCCCGGCTCCTGCACCCAAGTCCAAACTGGCCAGCAAGTTCCCCAGAAGCTTCCTCTCCGAGATTCACACAACACTGCTTGGCCCCTCTGGACCCCTCGCCTTCCTCATTCGTAGAGTGGGGACGATAGTGTGTCCCTCCTGCTGGGGTCATAGGGACGGACTGACCAGTCAGCATGTGAGAGTCGCTGGCCCACAGAGGCTCTCGGAAACAGGCAGCTGCTGGCCGGCCCCTAACTTCACCCTGGGCGCGTCTCAGCTCAGACGCTTCACAGTGGACCCAGAAGAGACGGCCTGGGGGCCCCTCGCTGGCTCCGTTGGAGGAACCAGTGACCCTTGATCTCAGGGTCGTGAATTTGAGCCCCACGTGGGGGGCAGGGATGACTTAAAAATAGTCTCCACTGCGTGAGGGTCTCATAGTTTACCTAATCAGTCCACGTTCAATAGACCCTAAGACGTTTGTAATCTGCAGTTACAAACACACTGCATTGAATCACTTCAGGGGCACCTGGGTGGCTCAGTTGGTTGAGTGTGTGCCTTCAGCTCAGATCATGATCTCAGGGTCTGGGATCGAGTCCCACCTCAGGCTCCCAGCTCAGCGGGGAGTCTGCTTCTCCCTCTCCTGCTCTCCCTGCTTGCGCTTTCTCTCTCTGACAAATGAATAAATATTTTTTTTTTTTTAAATCTGTTTGAGGGGCTCCTGGGTGGCTCAGTGTGTTAAGCCTCTGCCTTCGGCTCTGGTCATGATCTCAGGGTCCTGGGATCAAGCCCCGCATTGGGCTCTCTGCTCAGCAGGGAGACTGCTTCCCCCTCCTCTCTGCCTGCCTCTCTGCCTACTTGTGATCTATCTCTCTCTGTCAAATAAATAAAAAATAAAATTAAAAAAAAAGTTTAAAAAAAAATCTGTTTGAATAACCTTATACATACCTCATTTCCCACCTGTGGAGTCTGCTTCTCCCTCTGCCCCTCCCCACTGCTTGTGCTCACTCATGTGCTCGCGCTGTCTCTCTCTCTCTCTCAAATAAATAAAATCTTTAAAATATGTTCAATTGGGGCGCCTGGGTGGCTCAGTGGGTTAAAGCCTCTGCCTTCAGTTCAGGTCATGATCCCAAGGTCCTGAGATGGAGCCCCGCATCGGGCTCTCTGCTCAGCGGGGAGCCTGCTTCCTCCTCTCTCTCTGCCTGTCCCTCTGCCTGCTTGTGATCTCTGTCAAATAAATTTAAAAAAATCTTTTAAAAAAATTAAAAAAAAATAAAATATGTTCAATTAATAACAGAAATGAATTGTGCATAAATTTAGCTTTGTGGCGAAAAATCACATCTCCAAACAGAGTTCAAACTGGGGCAAGAAATCAGAAGGTATAGAAACCACAACAAAAGATAAAGAAATGGTAGAGGAAGGCTAGGGAACCACTAGGTCATGGTTCCCGACGAAACACCAGGAATAAAGCAAGCCTGTGCCCCTCTGCCCCGCCCAGCTCGCATGCCTGGCAGAGGGCCCGTCTGCACCTGCAGCCAGGGCTGCTGGGTCTGGCCCACCTTGGGCTCCTCTCAGCTCCGCTGGCCTCAGTATCCTCCTCCCAGTACAACTATTGGATCCACTTATTGATTGCACGTTACTGTAAGGGACAGGGACAACCATGGAAAGCCGTTTTGAGGACGTTAAAAACCACATGAGGGCAAAACAGTATTTCCTCCCCCGACTGGCACTTGATTCAGGATGTTACACAGCAGAGGGTCCTCGAACAAGACTTCATCGGTGAGTCAACAGGCCAGTAAGTGTAAGCCGTGGGCAAACTTCAGGGACAGCCCCTGCGCGGTCTCACCTGCCGCTGATCTTCAGGCAGGTCGGGGGACCCTGCGCCGGCCACGGTCCCTCGTCGGAGCAGTAAGTCAGTGTAACCGGTAGATGGCGCCAGTGACCAGGCAAGCCTTCGGTCCCGTCCAAAATAGAGCATTTCCCCTAAGAAGCAGGTCCTGCTGGTTTGTTTCGTAACTTAAAAAAAAAAAAAAAAAATTACAAAGACCATTTTTAAAAAGTAGAACCATAGCAACCCAAAGCTATTGCGTCCACATCCCCCCCCCACCCCACCCCCAGGCACACACGTCCACATTCAATTCCACACTCACCAGTCCCCATCAGCTCTTACTGGTTTCTTAAGAAGCCGGATCCCGGTGGAGGAAATGACAGTAGCTGGCTAACTGAGCTGCTTAGGCTTGTGGGGTGCCAGCAAGTCAGTAACTGAATCGACAGCTTCAAGAAGCATATTAAAAATCTTACAAACATATTAACATAATTGCCCGCCCCCAACACACAGACACACAGAGTAGTTTTTCTGGGGTAAAACCATAAGTACGTTTGCCTTCTTTATGGGGTAACTTAGTAAGACCATTTCCCCTGCTGCTGAGAATCAACCGCAAATGGGAACCAAGTCCCTGGTCGGTCAAAATGGCTGTCAAACAGTTCATTCAAACCAATAATACATTATATGTTAATTAACTGAATTTACATTTTTAAATAGGGAAAAAGGAAAACAAATACTCAAAAATAAACATTTTTCAGGTTTAGAAACTAAACATTCCACATTTCTTTGAAAATAAAGTTATTACTATGTTCAAAAGAAGGTTCAACGAAAGGACTCAGTTTAGTTCAATTTGATTTGGCTCAAGTTTTTATTTTTATTTTTTTAAAGATGTACTCATTTATTTGAGAGAGAAGGGGTGGAGAGGAGCAGAGGGAGAAAGAGAGAGAGAATCTCGGGACAAATCCCCACTCAGGGCAGAGCCCAACATGGGACTGATTTCAGGACCCTGAGACCAGTGCCTGAACCGAAATGAAGAGTCAGAGGTGCCCCTGGCTTGGTTCAGGTTTTAAAATGTGGACTTCAGCTTCCTAATTTGCACTCAAAGGATCCCCGAGTGGTCGCCAGGCTTGTTCACTGTCCCCATGTACACCCTGGCCTAGAGGCAGAGACCTGTGTCCTTTGGGGAGCAGGGGCGTGGATGGTGCACAGGACGGACACTTTTCCTGGATCTATGAGTCCAGCTAGTAACAGGGAGAGAAGGGAGCAGGGAGGGGAGGGAGGGGACACTGGCCCCAGTGATCTACCTTTGTGTCTGGCCCTGAAAAGCAGCAAAGCCACTCCCTGCCCATTCAAGACAGCCACCCCCCACCCCAGACCAGCCTGGACCCTGAAGGGCCTCATCAGCACACAAGCCCTTGATCCAGAGTTCAGAACCACTGATGTCTGAGTCAGCAGATTGGCGTGATCTAGATCAAGTTCAAGTGTAAGTACTGACCTCTGAGGCTAGAGTGCAGGAAGCTGCCCACCGCCTGACGGGGAGGAGCGCACCGAGGCTGGGGTGCACTCCGCCCCTCGCTCCTCCAGCACACTTCCTCTATTACGTACCCGCCTAGGAGACAAAGTCCTGCTCCCTGGCCCCACTTTTTGTGCACAGCGGCCGCTGGGATGGTCCCAAAGGGTGCGGAGGCAGGACGGGCACGGCCGAGCACCACGTGCCCCGGGTCTCCGTTACTGCGCACGTCAAGCCCACGGGGTGGGGGTGGGGAGACAGACCCCAGGCCACAGTTATCGAAACCGAGGCTAGAATTTGCATCCGACGCTCAGGTGCAAGCTTCTATGCACCGTCCGGGTGTGGACGCAGGGTCGTCCAGGTGCCGGACCGGGACTCCCCGGCCAGAGCTGCAAGAGGACGACGGTCCCCCACGCAGTGTTCTCTGCTGGGAAAGACTGTAACTGCCAGGCAGCGACAAGACAGGCAGAAGGACCGCTGCCCGGTTCCAAAACGTTCCACAGCGTCGCGCAGTCCCGTAGAGACCGGCGGGCCCTGGGTTAGGGGGTGCTGCCCGGTGGGTGCGCGGCGTCCTGGCCGAGACGCGGCGGGGAGACCGGGAGGGGGTGCCGACCTGGACCGGACCCCGCGCGGCTCTCACCTGCGGATGCGCCGCTTCTCCTCCGCCGCCAGAGGCTCGGCAGCCGGTTCTCAGCCGGGGGACGTGACGTCACCGTTGCCTGGCAAACCCCGGGCGCGCTCCGGCCTCCGCCTGCGGATGCTGCCGCCTCTTCTCCACCCACGGAGGCTCCGGCAGCCAATTCTCGGCGGCGCAGTCATGACGTCACTGTTGCCGGGCAAACGGTGGGTGCGGATGCTGCCGCCTCTTCTCCGCCCCCGGAGGCTCCGGCAGTCAATTCTCGGCGGCGCAGTCATGACGTCACTGTTGCCGGGCGAACCGGGGCGCGCTGGGGCCTCCACCTGTGGATCCTGCCGGCTTGTGCGCGAGCAGCGAAGATGAAAAGGAGGCGAACTGGACCGGGGGAGAAAGATGGGGAGACGAATTCTATTCCTGCAGGCTCCTACAGCTAGGAATAGGGGTTCCCTGGCCTAACGTCCTGATGGGCGTCGGCCTGACGGTCCAGCAACCGGAAGGATGGGAGGCCCAGCGTGTGCGTGGAGACCCGGGGCAGGTCTCCCTCCCGGGGCCTGCACCTGACCGCTCTGCCCCACCCGGACCTACAGAACCGCTCGCTGCCGCTGCCGCGGAGCAACCCATTTCGCCGAAGTGCCTGGCTCACCTTAGAACAAGGTGGATGCTTTTTTTTGTAAAAGAGGAAAATACAGTTGAATTTCAGAATAGTAACAGGGAAGACCCGAAACTGGGGGAAATGTTGACAGGTACGATGTAAGCCTTCGGCGGAACACTGTTGCCCCTCTTCCTCTGCCCTGTGGGTGTCACTTAGGTAAACCCAGCAGTGTGCACAAAGGCCCCTGACCACTGCGACACGCATGCTTCCAGCTCGTCACCTGCGACGGGTTGATTCGGGCCCGCCCACCTATGGAACACCTGGTCAAGCGGATGGAAATCAGACCCTGTACAGCCCCTCAGTCACTGGGCCTCCGGGACTGTCCAGACCAACTTAAACACACATGCTACAGAAATAGAGCCACGAAAGTGGAGAGTGGAAAAGTCAAATTCCTCTTGATAGTTAAACCGCGAGAGGCAGTCCCAGAAGAAAAATCAGGGAGGGGGGTCGTGAACACAGCCCCGAGTGTTCGCTGTGCAGGATCACAGCTCACGGGGAGCCACGCCCCTGACTCTCGGCGCTGGAACAAAGGGTACACCTTGGTGCACCGCAATTCATCGGGACTTACTAATATGACAAATGCACATGCTCCTGGGACTAGCTACTCCCCTCACGTGGAAGGCAGTGAACCTCCTGGGCACTGGGCCAGGACAGACACCGCCCTCTGCTTAGGACGAGGAGGAGCCAGGCACTGTGGTGCTGTGGTGTCGGGCTTCTCATGCTGTGTTGTCACCTTGAAATTCTCAGCCATCTCACCTTCTAGTGTGTGCTTTGTAAGTGAGTCTGGAGAGACTGCCCCAGAGCCTCGGAGCCAGGCTCAAGCTTGGTCTCGCTGGTCAAGCTTCCCCCATCTGCGGGACTGGTTTTCAGCTGCATCCCACTGCCCTCAGGAGAGGCCGCCCCCCTCCGCACTGTGTTTTCCCAGGAGGGGTCAGGGCAGAGGGAAAGGAAGGGTCATGCATGCACCCCTGTCTAGACAAGCCAGGGGCAAGTATCGGTGTCCCTGAAGGAATGTGACATTAAATAGCAAAAACGAGAACGTGCCACCAAGACAGGGCACGAGCGAACCCACACAAGAAAGGAAAGGCTTCTTTCATGCTGTTTGGACGAGGGGCCTCAGAGTTTCACCTAGCACCAGGCCCCTCACATTGTATAACTGACCCAAGCAGACCAATACTCATTAGCAAATTATATGGAAGAGCAAAAGGTTGAAAATGGTGGCCTGACACTCTGTGACTTGTGCCCTTAGGCGACACATAACTAGAATATCTCTCTTCCGGCTCAGGTCATGATCTCAGGGTGCTGTTATCAAGCCCCCCCATCAGGCAGGAGGGCCCCCCCACCCACTCCCTGCTCGGGGGGGGGGGTGTCTGCTTCTCTCTCTCTCCCTCCACTCCTGCTCCCCACCCCACTTCTGCTCTTTCTCCCTCTCAAATAAATAGATAAAATCTTTTTTTAAGAAAGTATATAACTGCAATGTAATTGGAATATAATTTACATGAAGGCAAGAACCTATCCGTGTTCTTGAAACTTTAATTATCAAAGCCTAATACAAAGCTTAACACATAAGATTTCTTTGAAATATGTATTCATTTAAATTAATTAAATACATTTTCATTTAAGCCGGTAAAACAGGCACTTAAAAAATGGAAACAACCTAAATGTTCTTGGAAACCAGTTAAGTAAGTTTGATACATTCATGTAATAAAATACTGTGTCGCTGTATAAAATAATGAATATGTCCATTAGGTACTAATACGGAACGGTCTCTAAGATGAATTATTACCATTTATGGGGCACCTGGCTGCCGCAGTGGGTCAAGCAGGTGCTGTTGATCTTGGGGTTGTGAGTTCAAGCCCCATGTTGGGTGTAGGGCTTACTTTAAAAAGAAAAATTATTACCATTTGTGTTTTAAAAACTGCAAGGTGAGGGAAATGATTTCTCCTGGAGCCTCCTCTAGTGGCCAATATGTGGAAAGATTCAGAGAAAGAAGGTGCTGGATGGCTGGGAGGGAGGTTTTCAAGGGACATTATTTTATGCCTTTTAGATTTTGAAACAAAGCATATGAATAACCACAAAAATTAATTTTTTGGAAGTGCAAAGGAGCTACATTATGTGTTACTGTGGAAAGACTCCTTGTTAAGTGGACACAAGAAGCGGAACAGAGTGTGTGTCTCCTTGGTGTGAGATGAGAGCCATACGCAGTGTCCGGAGGGCTCACACGGTGCTCTGACCACATAACCCCCCGAGTGGCTGTCTTTTCCTGCGTGCTTCCTACCATCACAAGGACAGCAGGTCAGGAGCCCACGGTCGCTGTGTACAGCATCCCGTTCCACTTGCATGACTGGGGGCCTGGGCTGCCATCAACCGTGGTGGGTGAGAGGTGCAGATAAAACAGAGATGACCGAGGAGAGAAGTGCACACAAGAACAACCCAAGAAGGCCTGTGCGATCACGTCGCCTGCTGCACAAAGTCAGGTAAAGCCACACTCAAGCACTGAGGGAAATGCCCAGCTCTGAACAACTCAGGGCAGCTTCACCCCATCCGCTCATCTCCCTCCTCTCCACACCTGCAAAAACCAACGCTCCAGCACCCGGAATTCTGTAAATGGTGATGTCACTGGCTTCTTTTACCTGGTGGCCCCCTCCTCTTGTTCACATCGCCTTTGTGCAGAGACCACGTCATCCCTGGGACAGCTCCTCCAGCTCCAGGGGCCACCCGCTTTCCAGAGACCTGAGGCAGGGGAGGACCCGAAGGTGAGTGTGGTGCGGGATTGGTGTGGTCCCCACAGGTGCCCACAAGTGCCAGACTGGGGAGGGAAAACCTGCTCAAATTCCATCCCCGCCGCTCTGTGGTGGTGTGACCTGCGGCACATGACTTCATTCGTGTCCTTCTGTTTCCTCATCTGTAACATAAGAATGGAAATAGTTTAACATTGGTTTCACTGTTGTAGGATTAAATGAATAAATACAAGCAAATCGCTTAGGACGGCACCACAGGGAAGCAACCAGTAAGGTATTTCTTTGGTGTTTGTTTTCAGAGACACTGTGAGTTCTCCAAAGTGGCTTTGATTGGCTAACTTCTTTTTTTTTAATATTTTATTTATTTACTCAACAGAGGGAGAGAGAACAAGCAGGGGGAGTGGCAGGCAGAAGCAGAGGGAGAAGCAGGCTCCTCACCGAGCAGGGAGCCCGATGCGGAGCTCGATCCCAGGACCCTGAGATCATGACCTGAAACAAAGGCAGAGGTTTAACTGACTGAGTGCCCCAGGTGCCCCCAGTCGGCCAGCTCTTGGCCCTCTGTTCTCCCAGCCCTGCACCCCGCCTGTCTCCCATCCAGCTTTGACAACTGGATGACAACTGGACGACTTCCAGCCCTGCCCAGGGAAGTGTCTTGCCTCTGGGGAGACACTCAGGCAAGCATAGAGCCTGCCCTCCCACCTGACTGACCCCTCCCGACCTTGGCGGTCACCCTCACGGCTCCAGACTGGCCAGCCTGCGTGTGCCCAGCTCCAGCCGCCTTGCGGGAAAGGAGGGACAAGCCATTCCAGGCTCAGCTGACCAGTCTGTTCTCCCAGCTCCTCGGGCTCATCTCAGACAAAAGCAGAAAATGTACACCCCAGGGGAGTTCCTGGCCCTTGAACAGTGCCGCCCAGTGTAGGTTCTTGCGATGACGACAATGGCCCCTGTGTGTGCCGTCCCGTGTGTTAACCGCTAGCTGCGTGTGCTGCTGAGCATTCGAAACACGGCTGGTGATCAAGGAACTGAACTTCAAATTTTATTTAATTTTAATCTGAACGACCACTAGTGATGGTTGTGTTGGATGACACGGTTTTAAACTGTCCATCCTGACCCTTTTTTCTTACTTGTGAGTCAGCCTTACTTTAACATTGGCAAATGCGGGGGCACCTGGCTGTCTCAGTGGGTTGAGCCTCTGCCTTCAGCTCAGGTCATGATCCCACAGTCCTGGGATGGAGCCCCGCATCAGGCTGTCTGCTCAGTGGGGAGCCTGCTTCCTCCTGTCTCTCTGCCTGCCTCTCTGACTACTTGTGATCTGTCTGTCAAATAAATAAATAAAATCTTAAAAAAAAAAAAGATTGGCAAATGCGTTTTTCAAATTTGGTGACTGATGTGAAAATGTTAGGGCTCAAGAGCAAATAGCCAAGAAAGAATTCTTGAGACATTTTTGGTGCAAGAGGGTGGTTTATTGAAGCAGGGGGACAGCATCTGTGGGCAGAGAGAGCTGCACCGGGGTCAGGAGGAGTGCCTCTTATATACTTCCAAGTTGCGAGGTGTCCAAGAGAGCATAAGTCACTAAGGAATTTGGAAGCAAGGTTTCCAGGACCTTGAGGGGGCTCGCTATTGTTGGGAAGGGTCATTTATTACCGTCCAATAGAACTGAGTCGTGACACCCTTTAGATGTGTATCGGTAGGCCATATGCTGGGGGCCGATTGTCAGCTCGAATCCTGGGAGTTTTGGAGATAAAGGAAATTTCTGAAGGAATTTTTATATGTTAAAGTAGACTTACAGGATCCTGGGGGTCAGGATGATGTTAAGCTAAGGTTGCCCTCTGCTCTTAGCAGGGTATTAGCGTCGGGGCAGCTGAGCTCCCAGAGGAACGTCACCGCCCGTTCCAAGGACTTGTCAGTGGACTGTAGGCTGTGAGGAAGTTTAATTTTTTTTTCCTTTGTCCTTGTTCTCCCCATCAGCAACGCCGCTGGTCTTACTCTTCATGGAGCTACTGAGTCTACGGGCAGGAAAAAGGTCCTATTTCCATTCCAGGTCTCACTTTTCCCTGTGACAGTGAGGAAGTCAGAGCATGATGCCAAGGCCGGGACATGGGCCCTGCCGGAGCCTCCCTCCTCCACGCTGGCCTCTCGGAGCACAGGCAACGCTCAGCTCACGCCCTTCCTAAATGTGTCTTCTGGGAACAGGCCCAAGTGATCCAGCCCACATCAGAACAGAAAGAAGGCAGTTCGGCCGTGTGTCGGAGAGAGGGCAGTTAGAGGTCAGAGAGAATGCCGGCCTTTCCCTTCCTAAAACCCACAATAATTCTTCCTCCTTGGCAGACAGCAGGAAGAGAGGGCTTGAAGGAACCTCACAGACCTTCCTGAGGCCCAGCGAGGGGTCACCCCCAGAAGCCCCAGGAATGCTGGGCTGCAGGAGGGGCTGGGGGGAGCCTGTACCAGGCGTTCTCTGCTCCAGGCCCTGGTCATCCCCTGGGTCAGTAGCCCTTTTGTTTAAGTGCCTGGTGGGGCTGACTCGGTCGTTCCTGGGAGCACAGCTGTGGCACAGCCTGGAGGAGGCCGGCCTCCCAGATCCTCCCTCAGGCTTCGTCAGAGGCAGGGGACATGCACCCCAAGGGCCTCTGCTTGGCCTGACCCTGCTGCAGGGACGCTCTGTCCCCACTCCTCGCGGAGATGGCTAGTTTGTGGAGGTCCTGCTTGCCTGGCTGCCTCCCCTCCCTCGTCCTCCTCCTCCAGCTGTCCTGCAGCTCCGCAGGTAAGACTGATCTTTATTTCTGCCTTGAGGCGACCCTGGGTTCACCTTCAATTTATCCTCAAGGTGCGTCGCACATTATCTGTCCAAAACCTGGGTGTGCTGACAGGCTCTCTGTGCGCTTCAGAATCGGGCCCGAGCTCCATAACGCATCCATAACGTAGCCCCAACCCAGGTCTCCTTGAGCTTATCCTGACCGACCTTTTCCGCGTTGCCTTCTCAGACTAATGACTGCTGATTGGAGCTGTCGTCAGGGTGGAACGGGATGAGGTTGTGCCTGTTCCTGATAAGTCGTGATCAATGCTGAATGGCAGCATCCCATCACGTCTGAGAGCTCTCTCCCACAGGATCAGGCACTCAGAGTTTTCAGAGGAGGCCTGCTGTCATGTGCTGTCAGGTGCTGGGGGGCAATAAAGGAAAAACAACCAGAAGACAGATTCTCTGCCTCAGGGAGATTCTCCCCTCCCAATAGGGGAGGCCCAGCCCCACTTACCCCTTGAGAAATCCTAGCAGGTGTCATGGGAAACAAGTCTTCCCTTCTAGGAGCTCTGAGTCTGGCTGACAGACACACTCCACGTGGCGAAAGTTTGGGAGCCTGGGTGAAGGCACAGAGGAGAGGAGGGAAGTAGAGCCAGCCCCAGTAGGGGACATTTAGGGAACAGGGTGTGAACAAGGACAAAAGCAAACCCACCAGGGGGAAGTAGGGAGCAGCTTGGTTAGGTTCAGACAGGGCCCAACCCACCCCCCGTCCCAAAAATTAAACTGCAAGACGCCAGGACCAGTCCCGTGATGGGACCTAACAGCTGGGCTAGAGAGTCAGCGTTGGAGACAGCCGGCAGGAGCGGCTCTGCTGGGTGACCACATACTGGAACGTTCCTCCCATCCAGGGCACTTGCACCTCTGTAACCGGGGATCTCCCCTCCTCGGTTCAAGAACTCCGTATACAAATCAGTGTCTTCTTCCTTGGCTCTAGGACGCAGCCCTTCCTAGGACGTGCTTCTGTGTCGAGGTCCCGTGACTCGGTTTCTTTTCTTTGGTGTCTTGGACAGGTCAGTTCAGGGTCACAGGACCAGGCCACCCCATCCGGGCGCTGGTGGGGGAGGAGGCTGAGCTGCCATGTCGCATCTACCCTGGGAAGAACGCCACAGGCATGGAGGTGGGTTGGTACCGGCCACCCTTCTCCAGGGTGGTCCATCTCTACCGAAATGGCAAGGATCAGGATGCAGAGCAGGCGCCCGAATATCGGGGACGGACCGAACTGCTGAAAGAAGCCATGGGCGAGGGGAAGGTGACCCTCAGGATCCGCAACGTGCGGTTCTCCGACGAAGGAGGGTTCACCTGCTTCTTCCGAGATCATTCCTACCAGGAGGAGGCGGCCATGGAACTGAGAGTGGAAGGTGAGTGTCTGCGGGGCGCGACCGCCCTCGGAGACTGGACCCCTCTCTCAACGGAGACGCCACCCTACAACTCACACCCCCCGCTGTGGGACAGGGGGCTGCATAAGCTCACGGCCACGCCGGCCGGGTGGGGAGGAAGCCAGGCCTGAGTCAGGGCGAGGAGAAGGGAAATGGCCTGGACCCCGGAATTGCGTGAGGGCCGTGCCTCTGGCTGGAGGCTCTGTGTGACCGGCTGCTGGAGGCAGGGACCACGCACAGACTTCACGGTCCTGGCCGCAGGTTTAGCAGATACGGAGAGGAGACTATGAGAGGGTCCCATAGGACAGTTAAGTGAGTGCAAGTACACACAGAGACAAACATTTTTTTTTCTAAATGAAATAAAGAAACCGAGAAACAGAGGCATCACAACCCAGAATCGTCCATTCCTGGGGTTTTTTTGTTTTTTTGTTTTTTTGTTTTTTGTTTTTTTGCCGCTAGAGGGGATGCAAATAACCTGAGAGTGAATTCCAGGGTCAAGCAGACTTTCTTCCTTCCAAGTCTGGCTCTGGAATGTCTTCTTGTTTGTTGGTTCTAAACAGAGGCATGATTCCAAAGGAGCCAGACGACCCAAGCCCACCACAGAGGCTCCCCCGGTGGGTGTGGTTGTTTTACTGGACAAGGAACATCCCCGGAAAACGTGCTCCAAGTAACTACACAAACAAGCAAACGTGTGAAAGAGAGACGCTACCTTCCGAGTTCGCTCTTGGGAGCCTTTTTATGACGGGGGTTTGGGCATTTGTTGTTCGGTCCCCTCACAGGCGAGGTGGAGGGAGGGAGCCCTTACTGCCCATTGCTGTTGACTGAAGAGCAGTGTCTCAGGGTCCTTCCGCGGCTCCGCACACGCTCATCAGACAATCCATCGCTTCTGTGTGTCGCGGCCAGAAGATGGCATTGTGTGCGCGATAACAAAGCCCTGTGTCTGGAGGAGGGCGTCCGGGATGTGAAAATGGCTTTGTGCACCCTGGAATGTTGTGCGCACAGCTGGCTCTGCCGGGGGCTTGGACGTGCGTGGACCTGTGCTCACGAGGACGGTCAGCGGGCGACGTTCCCGCCTTCCCATTCCGAGTCTGCCTCCCCCAGCACAACCCCCATCCCCAAAGACAGAAGGAAGAGGGAGCAAGGGAGGGAAAGAGAAAGGAAGAAAGGAAGGAAGGAAAAGAGAGAGAAAGAGAGAAGGAAAGGAAAGGCAAGGCAAGGAGGAAGGAAGGGGGAGGAAGGGAGGAAGGAAAAGAAAAAAGGGAAGGAAGGAAGAAAGGAAAAGGAAAGAAAAGGAAAAGGGACAGAAAGGAAAGAAAGGGAAAGGGAAAAGGAAAAGGAAAGGAAGAAAGGAAGAAGAAAAGAAAGAGAGAGAGAAACAAAATAAAACCGCCTCAGGCGACAACGTTTTTCTTTGCGTTGATTTTCAACGTTCCAACCCCGTTCCTCCCAGCTCAGAGTCTGCGTGCCTAAGAGTCTAAGGAAAGTGTTTTACAAGTAAACAAGGGACCACCCCCCTTGCCTGGGGAGCAGGAATCCAAGCCAGATCGAGGACTGAAATGCAGTGACTGTTAGAACAGATAATTAACTTCCCCGCCTTCTCTCCAGAGTCTTTTCTCTTTCTTTCCAAGTTTTTTTCTTGCATTTTTGTGATTTTACTACCTATTTTCTCTAATCCTTTCTTCCTACCCTTCATTATGAAACTTAAAAGCATCACAGAAGCAGAGAGACTATCACATGGAGCCGTGAGGGTCCCACCCCCTTTCTGTGGCAGTCACCCAGGCGGACAGACAGACCGCCGGTTCCCCTGACCCGCTTGTCTCCACCCTCCCCCACTGAATTACCAGGGCAAATCCTATGCATTATTGTCATTAAATCACTAAATGTGCAAGAATGGGTCACTCAAGGGCACCTGGCTGACTCAATCCGTGGAGCACATGACTCATGGTCTCAAGGTCATCTGGGGTGATCTCAGTGACTCTTGATCTCAAGGTCACAATGGGGGGTGAGTTTACTTGGAAAACAAACAAACAAAAAGAATGTACCACTTCTCTTAAAAGGGAAGAATTCTTTTAAAAAACCATAAACACAATACTGTCAACCGGTCTTTTAAAATTAACAAAAATTTCCTAATATCCTCAATGCCCACTCTCTGTTCAAATTCCCCTGCTCGCTCCCCAAATATATTTCTAGAGTTGTTTAGTTTGAGTCAGGTCTAACCGAGATCCACACGCTGCTGTTTGCCCTGTGGAGTTTCCCACCGTCTAGCTTTGCTGGTTCCATTCCCATTCTGTTCTACACAGTGCCCCATCCTTGTATTTCTTGTAAACTGAGAGAGAAGTACAACCAGGTTTAACTTATTTTTCCAAGCATTCGTAGGTGATGCTGTCTCCTGTTACTTTCCATCAGCAGGCCCCTAATGGCTCCTTCTCTCCTGTTTTGTGATTCTAGCACTTTGTGAAGGTATACAAGTGTGCAAGTCTGTACCTGCCTAGTCACACTGCTGCAGGGAACTTGGGATGAGAACTTGGAGAACAGAATTTGCTACATTTTCTTCTGGGGAACATAACAGATAAGAGCCTTAACCTGCAGCTCAAAGGATTCTGTTCCTACCTAAGAAACCCTCTCGGTCCAGTTGCGTGCTGTCCCTTGCTGTCTCTTGGTCCGTGCCCTTGATGGCCCTGTCTTTATCTGTCCCCAGGATAGGAGAGAACAAGATGAGGTGGGCTGAGCCAGCCGGACACACTGAGCTTAGACAGGCAGAGCTCTTGGGCGCGGATGAACAAGATTCTGATTCCAGGTGGGGGCAGAGCCAGAGCCGGAGACCATCCCCCATCAGTGGTCCCATGCTACATCCCCTCAATCATCAAACCACCACAGGAGGGGTTCATAACTGCATTGGGGAAGTCAACGGACCCCTGTGCTCTCTCTTTTTTTAGGTAAACTCTCTTCCCAGTGTGGGGCTTGAGCTCACAACCCTGAGATGGAGACTCCTGTTCTCTACTGAGGAGCCAGCCAGGAGCCTCCGCCCGCCCCCCACCCCGCCCTTCTTTTTTTACCCTTCCCGGATGGATCTTTCAAATGCATTAAATAAAACACATTTGTACTGAAACACAGCTATCAAAATGTTACAAGATATGAAGTGGCCCTGAGAACTACTGTAATTTCAAAGTAGTGATGAACCAAAGTGATATATTTTGAGGTTTCTGCAAACCACTCTAACGTGATATGAAAATATTTGTGTTTTTTCTTGATGACAAAGTCAGATTCTCTTCACACTATTGTGGCACATTGCCTACAGACCTGCTAATGAGAAGAAATGCTAAATTTCAGTTCAAAGATGACTAAAAATAACTCCACTTGGTTTTCCCCTCTAACTGCACAGATCCTGACTCCCTAACCCCCATCCCCTCCCAGCTCAGGCTCAGGCCCTGCTCTAGTCTCGTGGGACTGTGGCCCCCTCCTCCAGAGGGGTGGTCATGGGTCAATGCGGTCATCACCTGCCCCCCCACCCCAGCCCGGTGCCCTGTGAGGACCTGACCTAAGTCTCTTAGCTGTTTCCTAAACTCTGTAAAACGGGCTTTGCGGGGAGCCCTTCCCGGAAGCAGACCCACTTCTCCCTCAGGCTGTGTCACGGTCTCAGGAGCAGTGCGGGGCCGGGGCTGCAGTGCTCCTTCTGCCTTTCAGACCCCTTCTACTGGATCAACCCCGGAGTGCTGGTCCTCCTCGCCGTGCTCCCGGTGCTGCTGCTGCAGATCGCCGCGGGCCTCGTCTACCTCTGCCTGCAGCACAGACTGAGAGGTAAGGGCTGGAGGGCGGGCCGCCGCCCCCCCACCCCCGGGAACACGCTCGGAGCTGGGCTGCCTGGTGCTGAATTCCGAGGGGCATCAGGTCAAAGCTGCAGAAGCCGAGTCTTACACCTTATCGCGCGCTTTCACTTCTGCAACGGGTCCCCGCGTTCCCTGCGCGGCGGGGCCAACCTGCACCAGCCCCGTTTCACCGCGGGCCTCCCCTCCAGGCGGGCGAGGGTCAGCATTTCCGCGAGCAGACACACCTGCCAGGGGCGGGGCGCGGGGCTGTCCCCGCGGCCTCGGGACCGCACCTGGCCGCTTCACGCCTCGCGAGAGTGAGCTCAGGGCGTCGTCCTGCCCCTTCTCTCCCAGCTGTTCCGAGCCAGGGCTCCCGGGCCCCGAGGGTCTTCTCTCGCCCGCCCCCCGCCCGGTCCTGAGAGCAGAAACCACAGGGAGGGCTGGGGTGTGCGAGCGGGCGTCGGGGTCCTCCCCGCCGTGAACCGGCCCCGGGTGCCGGCGCCCTACTCCGCCCGCGGGAGAAAGGCTGTCAGTCCCCCTGGCTGAGCGGAGGGGACGCGGGACGGTTGGAACCCCGGTCTCGCGGGGGCACCTCGCTCCCCGCCGTCGGGGAGGGGGTGTTGTTACGTCCCGAGTCTCGGCGGCCCCGTCTCCTCCCGCATCCCCACGTTCGCGGCTTTACAGGTACTAAGTGCAGCCCAGTGGGGGTGGGGGGCGCCAAGGGAACCGAGACTCTGACGCGGAGGCACAGAGAGGCCGCAGTTCAGGTGAGGGCACCTGAAGCAAGTCGGGGCACTGCTGCCCGCCCCCCACCCCGGCTCCCTGCGTTCCGCATTCCTGTGCTTCCTGCCACCCGCAGCTCGGAGCCTGTGCTCCTCCGTCCACCCGCTGCCTGCGCAAGGCCCGGGCTCTGCCGTCCACCCCGCTGCCTGCGCAAGGCCCGGGCTCTGCCGTCCACCCCGCTGCCTGCGCAAGGCCCGGGCTCTGCCGTCCACCCCGCTGCCTGCGCAAGGCCCGGGCTCTGCCGTCACCCCGCTGCCTGCGCAAGGCCCGGGGAGCCGGCTGTGGGAGGGACCCCATCTCCCGCCGGGGCTGGACTAACAGTGTTGCCTTTCTCTACCATAGGAAAGCTTCGAGCGGAGATCGGTGAGTTTCCGTCGCCCTCCCTCCGCGTTCCCTGCCTCCCCTTCGGCATCTCCGACACGGTCCTCGGTCATGACCGTCTCCGCCTGTGTCCCCACGCCCCGCGCTTCCTTCCGGCGGAACTCCGCTAGTATTTCGGACCCCGCGGCCAGCCAGGAGCTGTGGCCAGACTCCTTCCTCTGCCGCAGCCAGGGCAGAGTCCAGCAGCTCCCCTTCCTCCACGGGTGTCCCTCACTCCTGAGTTTTAAGTGACCCGATCGCAGAGGCTCCGAGGGGAAGGGGTCTCCTCCGAGTGCCCCACTGAGTCCCTCCCTGTGTTCCCTTTCAGAGAACCTGCACCGGACATTTGGTAAGTGCCAGGACCCGGTCAGCCCCGTGTCCCTGGGCCCCAGTCAGCGGGGAAGTAAGAACCCTCGCTCCCAGTTGGCCTCCTGCTTCTTCCCTTCCCGCTGCCTTTTTGAGCAAGTCACAGTGAGATGTTGCCAGCAAGCACTCCTGTGACGCCTCTCCGTGCCAGGCACTGTACCGGTAGCCAGGCCAGTCGACCCCTGCAGCAAGGAGACCAAGGTGTCTGTGCGCAGAGATATGGAGGGGAGGTACCCAGGCCCTCCCAGGCATGCTGGCCATCCAGTTGGGGACATGACACCAATGTCACGGAGGACCGACTACTTATGCATCACTGATGAAACCCACATGGTAGAAGTGTCCTCAGGAGCACTGAACAAGTGATCTACGGGACTGATCAGGGAAGGCTTCCTGGAGGAAGACACACCAAGCCCCTTTACAATGTTGGCCCTTCAAGACTACAATCCCTGTCCTTTTTGTTCACTGCAGAGTCCCCATTGCTGAAGGACAATGCCTGCAACAGAGGGGCACCCACATCCCCGCTGGATGGATGTTGCAGAAATTCTAAGATGCCTTAACGCAGAGCACAGAGGGTCGGTCGCTGCCCTGAGCAGCCTTCCTGAACAGGGGGCAACTCCCCTAGCGCTTAGGACTCCCATCAGCATGCAGAGCACACACCCCGCAAAGGGAGGAAAGTGATCTCTATTTGGTGGATTCAAAGCAAAGGTACCATCTTTCGGTACCATGAATCTCCTGGGCATTCTGGTGAAACCTAACGGACCCTTCTCCAGAATAATGTTTTTAAAAGGGTCACAGATAACACGTACAGTTGCTGAGAAAACCACTGAAGTACAGGCATCAAAATATAAACCCATTTGTCATATAGTGACAAATGCTTCTTTAAAGAACAAAAACGCACTAAATAACAACGTAGCAGCAGGTCCAATAATTTTGTCCAAATATCAGTATTTGCAGATTTCAGCAACAACTCCAGTGGGAATGAGAGTTTATCTGTGGTTTCTGTTGGTAATAGGGTCATAGGTACTGCTGACTGGTTTGTGGCCTCCATTTTTAATGAAAGAAATGCTAAATTCAATTAAAGGTTGGGGAGAACCGGGATCCCGCACGGTTGTCACTGGAGTTCCCCAGATGCCTGAACTCTGCACAGAGCTGTGTGTTCTTGGGCCTGTTAAGCCGGTTAAGAAGCCCAACAATACGCAGACTGGGGGGAGGGGGCAGTGGACACCCTCTAACCCAGTTTGTTCTGTGGCCACGGCTCAGACCCCCACTTCCTGAGGGTGCCCTGCTGGAAGATAACCCTGTTTGTGCTGGTGCCAGTGCTCGGACCCCTTCTGGCCTTGGTCATCTGCTACAACTGGCTGCACCGGAGACTTGCAGGTGTGGGGGCAGGCGGGGGGTGGTGAGGGACGAGGTTCCTTTCTCCTCTGTCCCCAAGGCCAACTCCAGGGTCCTTGGAGAACCCCTCGCTGAGCTTCGTGGGGCCACTACAGATCAGGAGCAGGGTGGGGGGCTGCGTGGGGAGGGGGCTGGTCATCTTCCACCAGTCATGGATTTTTTTTTTTTCCAGGGCAGTTTCTTGAGGAGCTAAGTAAGTTTTCTTCTCCCTTTATAAGCTGAGAAGGGAACACCAGGAAGGCAGGAAGGCGGGGTGGGGGGGGTTATGGTCGGGGTGGCTGTGGTTGGGGTGGCTGTCCCTCCTCATCCCTGCCACCTGCAGGGCCTTACCTCCTGCCAGCCAGAGGACTTGCAGAGGGCCTAGAGGCGAGGGGATTCCTGGGGGCCTTTCCTCTCCGTGGATCAAGGCTTGGTATACACAGATCTGTCAGGGTGTTTCCTCTTCCTTCCAGGAAACCCCTTCTGAGAGATGCTGCATCCTGGCCAGCATGGAGGGCAGCCTGGTCGGTCCTCGCATGGGCTCTTAGGGTGTGGCATCCACTCGCCGCACACTCACTGGCCTCCTCGCCACAGGGACATCCAATCTGCATTTCCAGGAAGGCTGAGTCCTCTTCTCCCATCCACCTTTCCTCCCCCACCCCGTCTGGCTGCCCACCCCGGCCACTCTCCTCGCCCTCCATCTGGAAGCCGCCTCTGGCTGTGGCCAAGCAGGCATTCCTCTCTCCGACAGAGGACACCTGTGCTGCTCAGTAACACAGGCAGGACTGAGACCAGCCGCCTCCCTGCCGCTGATTCCTGTCCGCCAACATCGCCAATGGTGGTTGTTTCTTCCCCAGCGTCAATCCTGAGGGGCAGAGCTGAGGGGTGTGGAGGAGGCAGGGGAGGGGGAGGGGGGGGGGGGCCCCTGAAGCCCCCTCATATGCCCCCACCCCCGCCCCGCGTGCAGCAGCAAGGGCAGCATCCGAACACCAGCCTGGACTTCCCATCTTGCATGGATGGGACCCCTGACCCCCCCACACCTCCTTTCGCTCCCATCTTATCCCTATCACAGCCGCCACTGTCTTCTCAACAATTACCACTTGATGGTCTATCAGACACAAAGAAAATGGCAGGTGCTAATTAACAGTAACAGGAGTTTCTGTGTGCCACTTCTCATCCCGTCTTTTCAGCATTTCCCTTGTCACTCCTCCCCTCTCCTCCTGCAGGGCCCCCTGACCCGCAGGTGCATCAGTAGGAGAAACAAGCATGAAGGAGACCTCGGTCAGCGAGGCCTGGGCTCATCTGCTCTCCCCTCTCCGGTGTCCCCTCCCCACCCTTTGCGCCCTCTCCTGGGAGCCTGAGTCCCGGGGCAGATCCATCTCCTTCCCTGACAAAGTGGGGGCATCGTGCAAGAAGCTAAGCCACTGGCCCAGGATGGCCCAGCACACCTGAAGGTTGCCCAGACACAGGTCCCAGCTTTTGGAGTCCCTCCAGTGACCCAGGAGGCTGTCCCTGTCCCCAAAGCAGACATCACACACTGGGCAACGGTAGGTCTTCTGCCTCCAGTGTGTCTGCTGGTGTCTGACCAGCGCCAATGACGAGCTAAAGGACTTGCCACAGCGGAAGCAGCTGCGGGGCTGCCCTGACACATGGGCCTGCTGGTGGCTGGAGAGACATGCTTTCTTGCCGAAAGTCAAAGGACAATGGGGGCAAGAGAACACCTTGAGTCTTGAGGGCTTTGCTGGGGGGCCGTGGGGCCTGGGGTCCAGGCAGGGGGCTCTCGGGCTGGGCGTGTGCATCCTGGTCCCAGGTCCCGGGGCTGCACGGGCTGCTGCCCACAGTTTCACAGTGGTCACGGGCTTCCTGTCAACGCCTGGCTGCGTTTTGGCCACAGGACCCTGGGTTCCAGCTGTGGCTTCTCGGGCCCTGGCCACCAGGGCGTGAGTCACAGCCACAAGCTCCTGGCTGGACCCCTGGCTCTCGTCGGTGCGCTCCTGAGCGCCGGTGCCTAGGATGGTCCCGATGGGCTTCTGATCTCCGGCCACCCGATCCTGGTTCTGGTGTGTCTTCTGGTGGCGTCTGAGCTCTGACCGGTCCCGGAAGCACTTCCCACAGCAGGGGCAGGAATGGGGCCGGTAACCCAGATGCACGCGGCGGTGGCGACTCAGCCCCGATGCGTCGCAGTAGGTCTTGTCACAGAGTGGGCAGCAGAAGGGCCTGTCCCCGAGGTGTGTGCGCCTGTGGTAGCCGAGCTCCCTTGGGTTTCGGAAGCACTTCCCACACTGGCCGCAGCTGCTGGTCATGTGGGGCCTGTGCACCCACTGGTGGCTGAGCAGGCTGGCGCGCTTGCTGAAACTCCGGCCACACGGCTGGCACTGGAAGGGCGGCCCGGCCTGGGGTGCAGGCAGTTCGGGGGTCCTAGGTGCGGACGCCGGGGCCACAGAGGCTGGGCCTGTCCCTCCGCAGGCCAGGGCCTCCTTGTCGTCTGGTGGCCTCTGCGTCTCTTCCTCGAGTGCCTTCTTCCCACTGCCTGCGGTGGAGGAGGGACAGGGACTTGCCACATCAGCCCCATCCCCCCAGCGCCCTCTTGCGCCTCCCCCAACACGCTGCCTCTCCCTAGAGCACCTCACCGGTGGCAGGCAGGACAGACCTCCGTGGTTCCCAGTTAAAAGTTAATCAACATTTAATGTGGAAAGTCTCAGCGACAGCGGAGACAACTTTGGCCTATAACCCCATTTCTTGAAATCCATTTCCTCTCACTTTCAGTATCTCCCGCTCCCATGACAACCACAGGGGACCTCCTAGGTCATACAAATGGGGACACCTAAGGGAAGGGCAGTGCCTTAAACCACGCGGCTAGAACAGGAAGTGGTGCCCATGGTCAGCCCCACCGGAAACCTCTCTCCTTCCTGTTCCAGCTCAGGAACAGGTCTCTACTGGGGCTCAGCATAAGCTCATGTCCCTTCCTCTTCCGTTCTCCTGAAGGGGACATAGGCAACCTAGAGGCACCCCAATCCCTGAGGTTGCAGACATCGGCTTGTCCTCAACAATTACACATTCCCACAGGGCCAAGGGACGCGAGCACATGGTCTCAAGCCCTCCTGTGGCTCCGAGTGGGTCCGGTGTGAAGGATGCAGGCTGGGCGAGGACGTGCTCGGCCCCCGGGCTCTGAGACAGCCTTCTACCCAACCAGGGCCTGACCTGGGCCCTCGCCTGCCCCCCTCCTTGGCCATGCTTACCTGAAGGGAGGCCTTCTCCACTTGGGGGACGGAGCGGGAGCTCGGCTCTCCACTGCTTTTCTTCTTGCTCAAGCTTGATGATCAGATCTGGGGTAGACAGAAAGATTCTGACGGGAGCGGAAAGGAGACAGAGTGAGATCCCAGGTTTGGCTACCTTCTCCCACAGCCTTGTTTTAAGGACTTAACATGGGACACTTGGGAGCAGGGAGGAACCCTCCTAACGGAGTCCCTGGCTCCCGGTAGGAGCAGTGCAGTGAGCACTGCTGCGTGAAGAGGTACAATTTCAATGTATCCTCACGTGCCCAGTATTATCTTTGCCTTTGTGCGGGCTTACATTTCTTCTCCTTTTACCCTGAGCTTAGTGACCTAGATCCTTCACAGCTGGAAGGCAGAGGAGGTACAGGGTCAGGAAATCGAGCTGTGAGCCAATCTACCTGCTCAGGGAAGCCGGCCGTCCCAGGGTCCTGGGGAGTGTCCTGGGCAGGGGGCATGCTGAGGGAACCCCGGCCTCTTACCCACGGACAGTAGGTTTCTGAAGGTCTCGGCCATGACGTTCTGGTACAGGAGCCTCTGACTGGTGTCTAGACACACCCACTCTTCCTGCGTGAAATTCACAGCCACATCGTCAAAGGTGACTGGCTCCTGGGAGAGGAGGGGGGACTCGGAGTTATCCAAGCACAAGGTTTAGAAAACCGACTGAAAAATACCACCACAGAAGGAGGGAAGGAACAGGAAAGGACAGGCACAAAGCCAGGGACATTATCTACAAAAAGGAGAGGAAGGAGACAAGAGGTGAGGGGGTGTGTGCATGAGTAAGGCGGGGGGGACCACTCCACAGAGGGCTGCAGGGTGGGGTGGAGGTAGGGGCTGAGAAAAGCCTAGGCCACCCCTGCCCTCGGGGGGCTGTTCAGCCTGGAAACAGCTGAAAGCCCGTGTGACCACGGGCCAGACCGAGGACAGAGGACGGAGCTCCGGAGCCTGGGAGCTGGTCCGCCCTCGCTCTGGCCGGCTCTGCTCACCTGCAGCCACGTCTCCCACCAGCACGCTCTCTCCGCGGCTGCCACCTGCAGGAGCAGCTTCTCCTCCGCGCTGTCTGCTTCCGGCTTTGTCCACGGCCCGCCTGGCCCCCAGGGCTGACAGGACCCCTTCCTGGGGCTCTCTGGGTCCCGGTCACTGTGCAGATGGAGAGGCCATGCAGAGGCCTCGGGGAGGTTTGGCATGGCTTCCCGGGACGGATGTACCTGCTCTTCCTGGTTTGGTTCTATGGTCACCCTCTGGTCCCTCAAAGGGCAGGCTATAGGGTTCAGGGACTCGTCACCGGGGCTCCGCAGCCGGTGTGGGGCTACGAAGACATGTGCCTTCTGCCCGCCCTGCCTCAGCCCCTGGACGGTGCCCACCGCTCCCAACCTGAGGTCAGAGAGAAACAAAATGCGTCACCAGGCAGGAAGAGAGCGGCACGGCTCCCTTAGCAGGTCAGGGACACCAAGAACGACGGAGGCCCTGCTGTGTGTCCGCACGGCCCGTAAGGTCGGAGTAACTGACCCCACTTCATGGAATTTCAAGTGCGGAGATGCCAAGAAGCTTGTCCACAGCAGAGTCAGTGTCAAAGCCCAGGCTCTACCCCTGAGGACAGGACAGACGTGTCCCCGGCACTCCCTCGGGCAGCCATGCAGAATTCTGCACAGACAGTGCAAACCCCCTTGTTCAAGCTGCATCATTCCAACCACGTCTTACAAGAAAATGGGAAAGGACACGATCCCTTGACCCCATCTAGTGCCGAAAACCATGGGATTCTCCGGACTTTCACACGCGCTCCTGTGAAGGAATCAGAAAGGTCCTCGGGAAGACTGACAGGATAAGCAGCCCACAGCGAACACGGAGGCTGCAGTGAGCCCCGCACTGGGGCCACTCAGGGAGCTCCGGCCGAACCCCATCTCCTTGGGGGACAGCTCTCACCTCACGTCTCCTCAAGGTGCAGTCCCTTGAACAGCACAGAAAACCCACTGGCCTTTTTTCTTTCACTTTCCCTGGACTGGTGGTTAAACAGAGAAGGGGCATTAGACGCTGGCGTTAGCTGGACTGCTGAAAAGGAGGCAAAGCCGCTGTGCGAGATGTCAGGTGGGGACCATCCCCTACCCTCGGCCTGCCGGTCCCCCACACAGCATTGCTGGGGTGCTAGGGAGAGGCCCTGGTCCAGATTGTTAAGCCACCATCTGGTCTGGGGACGGAAGTGCTGCCGCCGCAGGCCCCTGGAACCTCCCAGCGCACTTGGCACACCCACACCCCTCAGCGGGGAAGGTGGTGGCCCCGGCGACCCGCCCTTCCCAAATGCGAATGCCCTGAGGGAGCCTGTCGCCATCTTCCCGTCCTCGTGGAGCACCCAGTGCCTGGGACCCAAATCCAGCGTCCGCAGCTCCCCACAGCAGTCCTGGGACCAAGAGCCCCAACACCCCTGCCAGGCTTTGTGGAGCAGCCAGCAGCGCCGGCTCCCACTGCCGGCGTCTGGGGCCCTCCGGCCAGGCCAGTGAGGCATCCCACAGGCAGGCAGGAGCAGAACTGTGCACCGTCGCAGGGACGGTTCACTCCCGCGGGCTGGGGCCGAGGGGTTCCCATCCACCGGGCCGGGGCTGCGGAGGCCTGAAGCCCCTT